TATTCTCCTTTTCCTATTTCTTTAATCAACTTAATAAAACCAAACAAGCCATCTTTCTCTCATGGGGATGTCTAATCAGTTCCTGTTTATATGGGTTCTATCATTCCTGCATCAAAACCTGCATGTTAAAACAAAGTGTTATTATCTGGTTTTTTAGATCCTCAAAATAAAGCTTTTGAGCTCATCATAGTTTAGCTCACTGAGAGCTAAACTATGTGATCACTATGAAATCTGTCTCAGAACAACATGTGAAACACTGCACCTGATCTGAGTGTACTGACTGTCAGTGTTGACAGAAGTAGAGGTAAATGACCTGTGTGTCATCATCCATATACTGTCAGATTCACAAACTTTCAAAGTATTATGCCAGGTATCAGACTCTGTTGTTAATCATTTGTTGCCCTACCGAACCCCAACTAGTTTCAGCTTGAAACATTGGTTCTTGGTCAGGTCCAACTTATCGGTTCTATGGAAATGCAAGCACAACATTTATAGCAATAATCATAAGCAAACCAGAAAAAAAGTCAATTACTGCTATAGCCTATTCACTATTAACATTCTCTGGTTCCCACACAGACCAGCTGGGGCACCCAATACAATATAACATTATTGGCTTTTGACGCAGAAGCCGTTGGATAATAATATATAATAAATAATATACTTTGAAGTGCATACTTTTTTAGCTTATTAAATAAATAAATCGTTAATGCTATTTAAGACTTGTTGGTATAATCAAACATGTTTAACTTACAATGGTGGGTAGTATTAGATTAATGACAGAAATGTAACTCCCCTGTCCGCCAAAATGATGGATAACAAGAAAGTTTAACTCAGACAATTTTATGTATTGATGACCACAGCTCTTAAGTGGCACAGACAATTGAATTAAGAATGTACACCTCCTAACATACCCAAGAACTCATACTAAAGATTTTCTCTTAAGAATAAATATAATGTTGTTGTTGTATTGACCTTGGACACAACTGATTAACAGATAGTCTGTCTTTCTCAGACACAGTTGTGAAATTCAGCTATAATCTATTTTTCCCCAGCATTTTGTTTATCATTTTCAGTGATTAGAAGACATATTTGTTAGCCTTTAATATTAATTATTTTTGTAATAATAACACACAGAACACGTTTATAGATTTTTCATACATACGAATGGAGAAAAAAAAGAACAGATGTTGACAATGAGTCCACTGAAAACGCGTCTTTGTTTCTGAACAGACAGATACAACAATGACATTTTATAGAATTAGTTTCTGTATCCAGAAAAATCTGGACAGATGACCTCTGATAAAATTAGCTATTTTGGTTTATTTACAAGCACCACTAGAACCACAGTTTAGAATACAGGGGGAACCTTTCTCCTAAGAAAGTGAAGAACTTGACAAGACTCTGCTTGTGAGCCTGTGGCACAGCTGTTAGATGAGAGGAGAAAGGAGGAGACACTCCAAGGCCTCAAGTCAGGAGCTCTTCAACCCACTGTCAATGACTTTTTCACAGCACATTGCCCTCTGAATTCTAATCTGTCAAAATCTGACGGGATACCAGCTCCACAGGTGAAAAACTAGTTTGACTTAACAATGCATTAAATTGATAATTTTGCAGTTTGAGTATGATTACGAAGTGAGTGTGTCCCTTTTTTTTCAAAGGCATTTAAATGAGTAATACATATTTAAATGCTCTAAATGTTAAAGCAGAAGAAAAACCTAAGCCACTGCGTATTTCCTGATTCAGTGTAGTGGACCAATTTTCACAGGAACAGGAAATGTTGACTAGGCAGAATAATGTTGAGTCAGGGTCTCCATTAGTGTGCCCTCAAAAACATCTAAACTACTGCTCAGACAGAGTTTGGACAGAGTCGAAGGCATTAATAACTACTATAAACCAAGAACATTTATTACGGTGAGAGCTTTTTCATGATTCACCCTGTGGTTGCTTAATTTGTTAAGGTAATACAAAAAAAAGTAGGAAAAGTGCAACTGTCATATGAACTGCTCTAATTTAATCTCTGAAACAGATTCTTGTTCTTCATGACTGCTATTCAAAGATGTGTAATGTTTTAGCCCCACCTAGTGGTTAATTCACACTAGTGATGTGCATTGGTTTGTGGTTCTTGCAGGTGAGCAATAGAGGCGAAGTTCCTCCCTTTCCGGTGGACCTCCATGGGACCTTATTTCAGAACAATTATTTATTGAAGTCAATGGGGAGAGAAAACGTATCTTTTGATCCCGTTTGAATTGTGCCACGAATTACACATATGATGTTTGTCAATTTAAAAGATAATTTTGCAAGTAAAAAAAAAATTTATTTTGCCGCTCAATGAACTACATCTCTGGTCCCGCACAACAACACACGTCACCAAGATGGCCGTCACTACTGTCTTGCCAAACAAGGGATTGACTACCCTCACTATCACCACAATGAAACACGTCCAGAAGAATGTCATGCAAAGCTGCCTGCCTGCCTTCCTTTGATTTTCTCTGAACTGCCTGATCTTTTTAATGTTCAATGTTAACCATTTGTGCAGATAGCATGAAGTAATAAAAGATCACCGATGCTAATGTAGCGTTGGCATGTCTCCCTCGGGGGCGTCCGGGCTTAAAGGTGTATTATAGAATGATCACACCGATGTGACAGTACTCTTCATAAAATTATGTATTGAAGTCAATGGAGAGAGGAAATTATTTTTTAAGATTCACAAAAATCATATGTGTAATTGGTGGCACAATTCAAACGGGATCGAAAAATAATCTTTCTCTCTCCATTGACTTCAATGCATAATTTTTCCGAAATAAGGTCCCATGGAGCTCCCCCGGAAGGGGAGGGACTTCGCCACTCTATAGAGAGGCGAAGTCCCGCCCTTCTACTTCCGCCCCATGGGACCTTATTTCGGAAAAATTATGCATTGAAGTCAATGGAGAGAGAAAGATTATCTTTCGATCCCGTTTGAATTGTGCCACAAATTACACATGTTTGTCAATTTAAAAGATAATTTTGCAAGTCAAAAAAATACAAATGTGTCGTAAAACTGTGAAGTAGCACATTTTTTGTGTGACAGGCACAATGAACTACATCTCTGGTCTCGCAGAACAACACACGTCACCAAGATGGCCGTCAAAAAAGGGATTGACTACCCTCACTATCACCACAATGAAACACGTCCAGAAGAATGTCATGCAAAGCTGCCTGCCTGCCTTCCTTTGAATCTCTCTGAACGGCCTGATCTTTTTAATGTTTCATGTCAACCATTTGTGCAGATAGCATCAAGTAGAACAGATCGCCGATGCTAATGTAGCGGTAGCGGTAGCGTTAGCATTTCTCCCCCGGGCTTAAATGGTGAATGATCACACCGGTGTGCCAGTACTCTTCAAAGGGTTCACGAAATATGACTACTACTCTTACTGTTAAACATTTTGGGTTACTTAATGTTACTTCATGTTAAGACTAATACAAATGACAAGGCTAAGCCGGCTGTATAACTAACGTGCTTGCTACTAGCTAGGTAGCTAACTTGATCCAGCCACTCCTGGTCCTTTCATCAGACGGGAAGCGAAAGAACGAGCAAGACCCATTGCTTGTATGATAGTTGCGGATTTTTCATAGTCTTATATTTCAACAGTTTTACATCAAACCGTGACTTTTTTGACATGGAAATTATTTGTTAAGATTGACAAACATGTGTAATTCATGGCACAATTCAAACGGGATCGAAAGATACGTTTTCTCTCTCCATTGACTTCAATACATAATTTTTCCGAAATAAGGTCCCATGGACCGGAAGTAGATGGGCGTGACTTCGCCACTCTATAGAGTGCCACAGTGACACATCCTAAAACCCGGAAGTAAACTCCTTCCGGTTCCTTCGACAAAAACGCAATGCAATTTCTCCATAGGATTTTGGAAAATAGCTCGTAATAAGATCTGTGGTTGACACGCATTTAAGAGACGGATCACATTTGTTCAGCCGGATAATATCCACATGTCTATCCTACTTTTATAATTTTATAATCATAAATCTAGTCGCCAGAAGCAAAATGCTAACGTTATGCTATAAACAAACTACAGCAGGGTCGCTGCTTCAACGTCATGCCGACTTAAGATCCATATTCAAAAGTACAGATTCAAAATTGTACAAGTTGAAGCTTTTGTTTTAACAGTTTGCAGGAGGCAGGTACTTGCTTTCAAGCAGAACACAGGGAAAAACAGACTTAGCGGGAGTGTTTTACGTGTTCGGTGTAATGACGTAAAACGGCCTTGACAACTTCTGTAGTCCTATTCAGCCACTTGTTAACAACCATCGTTTTCCAGACACGTTAACTCTTCAAAAATCACCAGTGGGGTCACTGCTGATGGATTTAATGTCGTAGAACAAAACGTGATCCGTCTCTTAAATGTGTCTCAACCACAGACCTTAGTTCCAGCTATTTTCCTAAATTCTATGGAGAAATTGCATTGCTTTTTTGTCGAAGGAAGTGGTAAAATGCTAACTTACTTCCGGGTTTTAGGATGCGTCACTGTGGCACTCTATTTAAAAGGGAAATAATAGCATCCGAGTCAGTAGTTCATAACTTACAGAAACATTGAAATTGTTAATGGTTGATGTATAGGCTGGGTGTGATGGGGTCAAGGACAATTTTAACTTTGAGTGATAGGAGTCGTTAAGCTGCAGTCACATGAAAAGCAGCCTAACCCTACACCCTACACCCTACACCCTAACCCTTGTATTTATATGGAGTGAGCAGTGCTTTAATACATTTTATTTTTTTTAAACAATACCCTGAAAAAGTTCAGATGGTCGCCTAGCAACGTATGGCATGTCCTGCCTTCCCTTGAAAAGTTGGCACAAGAGTAGATATCCAGGGCAAAACATGCTTATGTGTACGGTCCCTTAACCAGATTTCACACCAATTAACACTTTTAATTCTATGTTGTTGAGATGGCTTCACTTCATCTCAGTGGTATCATTGCTGTCTTGTTCTCTGTTACTCCAGGGTTACCTGTTCATTTCAGTGTTGGTAAACAGCAACAGTGAGCTGATTCGTCTGATCAACAACGCCATCAAGAATGACCTCTCCAGCCGCAACCCCACCTTCATGTGCCTGGCACTTCACTGTATTGCTAACGTGGGAAGCCGTGAGATGGCTGAGGCTTTTGCCAGTGAGATCCCTCGGATCCTGGTGGCTGGGTGAGTTCCAGTTGTCTGTGTTGTGTTGTATTGGGCCCAAGGTTAGCCAATCCCCCTGAGAAATAATATTACATTTTTATATTTTTCAAGGTAGTGTATCAAAAGGTAAAAGATCCAACTAGTGACTTCTGCTTTGTGAGTGTTAAGGAAGTAAAATCAATGACATCATCCTGATTTTCTTCTCTTTTGCTGAGTGATGAAGCCAAGGCAGTTTTCTATCATTTACAACACTGACTTCACTTAGCTGCTGGTAACGTTAATGTGCTGCACCACAGTGATACCATGGACAGTGTGAAGCAGTCTGCTGCCCTGTGTCTGCTGCGCCTCTATAAGACCTCTCCTGACCTGGTTCTGATGGGGGAGTGGACCTCCCGCGTGGTGCACCTGCTCAATGACCAACACATGGTGAGTGCACAATTCAGACCCCTGTACACTAGTAATGTGGTCACATAATGCAGTGTTGTTGTGCCTGTTTGATCATGAATCTATATGACATTTTTATGAGTTTTCTCTTATGAACTGACCTTGATCAACATCACAACATATTTGTTTTGTTATAAATATATTTTTAATCGAGGACACTAGTTTCACCACTGATATCAATGGATATATCTATGGGATTATTAATCATCTTATTGTGAGTATGTTTCTGTGTTCAGGGTGTGGTGACAGCAGCCATTTCCCTCATCACCTGTCTGAGCCAGAAGAATCCAGATGAGTTCAAGACCTGCGTTTCACTGGCCGTTTCCCGACTTAGCAGGGTGGGTGGGTGTGTGTGCTTCCTGAATAATAAATTGTAAAAATAAACATTTTATTTAGATTGTGTTGCTCTACATTAACAACAAGCATTCCTCTCCATTTACAATGTTTCCTAAGCATTGACGGCATTGTTTTCTATGAACTTCTGATACTGTTTAAAAGCAAAATGATAAGTTAATCAGTCGATTATCAAAGATCGGCTTCCCAGGTGGATGTGTTGCTCATTACCCAGCGAGTGATATCTGTGCATGCTAGTATATGATAAACACACATTTTGAAATGATTAGTTTTAAGGCAAATACAGAGAGTCTCCATTTGCAACTAACTGGACTCCCACGGTTCTGGTTCTGGATACTGTAGATATGTTTTGGTTATGGGAAAGTAAGCTGTGCTTTGCAAAGACAGTTAGACAGTCTCTGGCACATATTTAGCTTGAATTAGCTGTAATTGCTACAACTAGTTCTGTTGGCTCGGCAGATTGTGTCTTCGGCCTCCACTGATCTGCAGGACTACACCTACTACTTTGTCCCGGCACCCTGGCTCTCCTGCAAGCTGCTGCGTCTGCTGCAGTGCTACCCTCCACCAGAAGATGGTGCTGTCAAGGGTCGTCTGGTAGAATGTCTGGAGACCATCCTGAATAAGGCACAGGAGCCACCCAAGTCCAAGAAGGTGCAACACTCCAATGCCAAGAATGCAATCCTGTTTGAGGCTATCTCACTGATCATACACTATGACAGGTGAGTGTTCCGACTCTCATTAGCTGACACATACAAACAGTCATAGTATTGAATTCAGTAACTTAGCAGTGTACACCTTTAGTGTATCCTCTGCAACGTGAGAAATGACTGGAGGTATTACGTATGTAAACAAGACTCTATCTTCCCTTCACTGTATTACAATAATTTTGTATTAATATGATTCATTTACTATATTTTTTATTATTATTTTATGTTATTATAGTTTTCTTAAAATAGTTCTATCTGTGTTTTTAATTTTAGTTTTATGTATGCACCAATGACATCAAGTCAAATTCCTCGTACGCGTCAACCTGGTAATAAACCTGTTTCTAATTCTGATGAACTAGTGTGAAATCTCATTTCTGGTGTGTTCACATTGGAGGCGAAGTGATTGTCTGAGGATCTCAGTTTGTCATCACTGACGTTGTTACATCAGAAAAACAAAACAAAACCCCAGCCGTTGGCGAAGGGCGATGGCACACAGAGCTCTCAGTTCCAGTTCCTTCCAGACTGTCTGAGGCATGGCAATTTGCGGCTTCATTTATGTTGTTATTGTGAGTGTGGAGGCTTGTGGATACACTCGCCAAAGCTTTCATTCATTGTTTTCACTAACTGGTATTAGTATGTCATTATTTCAGCATCAATTTGACTCTAGTTTTATAATTAAATCAGTCAACATAAGTAAATGTTGTTGTTGGTATCAACATTAAGATAAGCCCCGCCTCCTCGCCAGCGCGTCTAGTTTGTGTGACGCTAGTAAAGACAAATGATGCCGCGGTCAAACTCGCACGAGTAATGCAATGCGAATCTTCTGGAGGGAACGCGCATTTGAACTTAACTGAAGCCTGTTGACAGTGCAGTAAGTTTGGCTGTGTGTTCTGCAGCGAGCCCAACCTGCTGGTGCGAGCCTGTAATCAGCTGGGCCAGTTCCTGCAGCACAGGGAGACCAACCTGCGCTACCTGGCTCTAGAGAGCATGTGCACCTTGGCCAGCTCTGAGTTTTCCCATGAAGCTGTCAAGACACACATCGAGACCGTCATCAACGCCCTCAAGGTACTGTCTCACTGTCGGAACTAAAGATAGTCTCTTACCAGTGTGATCAACTTTTTTCAAGCAGCATAATTCTACCAACCACCAAGTCGTCCCATGTACATTTTCCCTTCACAAATCAGCATAGCTTTCAAAGGTTACAGTCTAAGTGTGTTATACTGTCCAGTAGCACACAGTTATACAGTTGTCTTTTGGTCTATCTATACTTCTGTCACCTTTTCCCCTTCTGTTTTGTCACTGTTTGTCTCTTTGTAACTCTGCAGACTGAGAGGGATGTGAGTGTTCGACAGAGGGCCGCTGATCTGCTGTATGCCATGTGCGATCGCAGCAATGCCAAGCAGATCGTAGCTGAGATGCTCAGCTACCTCGAGACAGCAGACTACTCAATCAGAGAGGAGATGGTGGGTTTGAAAGACTGTTCCAGGTTTTAATGCCACGCTATGTTCAGTTTTTTCCCCAGATGTGAAGACTAAATTCCTCTCTTAACATAGAAGGTGGTTTGTTTCCACCAGTTGCATGTTGAAAATTGCAGTCTTCAATATAGAAAAAACGATTCCAGTAGCCTTACAGTTTACCCAACATATTTAAAGTCTTCAAAGTAATTGAGCTGTTATTTGTTATGCCTTCCTCATTCAGGTGCTAAAAGTAGCCATACTTGCAGAGAAATATGCCGTGGATTACTCCTGGTACGTGGACACCATTCTCAACCTGATACGCATAGCCGGAGACTACGTCAGTGAAGAGGTGTGGTATCGCGTCATTCAGATCGTCATCAATCGAGACGATGTGCAGGGCTACGCTGCCAAGACGGTCTTTGAGGTAACCCTACACAAAATCATAAAATGTAACTTCTGACCGCAGCAGTAGATTGAAATGCAGGTCTTTAGCTGAGAGGGAAACGGATTGAATGTGATGGACTAAAATGTGTGTTGCATATATCTGACGATTATCAAGTACTGAAAAGTGACATAGATTGTCTGTTCAGATACATAATCTAATGTAGTGAAATGTTTTTTTCTTTCTTTGCTAATTGAAAAAAATTAATAGAGTAACATCTTTTATATTTCAACATTTTTTTTATCTTTAATAAGCAATACTAACTTGCAGTCTGTTATCAACCTATGTTATGTAAACATTTTTACATCATTGAGTCCTTTTTTTAATGGTTTACGCTGCGTCCACACTACAGCGTCGACAGCTTCAAAAACAGTTTCCAACGCGTCTGCCCATTCACTTTGAATGGGGTGTCGTCACGTTGCCTCGCTTTTCGTCGAACTGAATTGTGGGTAACATAGCGGTCCGTCTCCGTCGTCTCCGGCGTCAGAAGTTGAACAATGTTCAACTTCTGACGCCGGAGTAGTCAGCGCTAGCTAATCAAATCCCGTTTCTGAAAAGCTGACAGCTCAAGCCCTAGCCAATCAAACCGCGTCTAAGCTGGGAGAGATATCCCGCCGTTCATTTCTATATTTAAAAAAAAAGATGGAGGAGAAACTAATTATCGCCGTAGCAAATCACCCGGTTTTGTATGACCAGACCCTCTTCACCTACCGGGATACAAACCGGAGGAACCAGTCATGGAGGGAGGTGGCAGAGACAGTGGGTGAAACTGGTAGGTTTTCGCCTGTTTGGGGAGTTTATATATATATATATATTGCTCGCATAAAATCCCCGGGGTTTTTTGCGTTGTAAGTCGGGGGCGGGAGATTCATGTGATTGGTTGTTGGTCGCGTTGCTCGCAAAAAATCCCCAAGCTTCAGACACGCCCAGCTCCAAGCTTTTTTTGAAGCTGTAGTGTGGACGGGCCGTTAGGATTATTTTCTTTTTATCATAACGTTTAAACCACCAACGTCACATCTGAGCGATACAGTAACTAAGGGAGACAACCAGTGTTTCAGTGTTTCTACAATAGATGTTTATGATCAGAGGGTCTTAACCTCTTAACCTTAACCTGCAGTTGTTCCAGAAGGTGTCCATGTCCACAATAGTTACGCTGCATTTGTTTTCTTTTGTGTGAATTGTGAAGTATGTTGACAAAGAATAAGCATTTTCTTTGTTCATTTTCTTTGAAGACTTATTGTCTTCCGAGTAAATCGCCAGAAGCTCCAACACCTCCTCATCACTCCACCGCTCCCATGTTTTCTTTTGTGTTGCCATAAGTTAGTCTCTCTCCGTTGGTGCGCTGGGCTAATGCTAATGCTAATACGTGGGCGTGGTTTGCAATTCACCCAACCAATCAGAAATGGGAACCTTTTCCTCCCCAGGAAAGTACCACCTCTCTAGCAGGGACTGAAAAGGGGGGAAAAGTTCCCGAAAAAAAGTTCTAGTTCCAGATCTTTTTGGTGTGAACGCAAAATCCCAGGAACTATCGGAACTATTCCTGGGAAAAGTACTCCGGTGTGAAAGCGCCTAAAGACATCCAAATGTGCATTTTCATGATAGGAGACCTTTAAACTCAGACATCAGGATATATGAAATGTGTCATTTAGCACTGCTGTATTATTGTTAGAAGACAGTTAGTTGATTTATCGTCTCTTTCAGGCCCTGCAGGCCCCTGCCTGTCATGAGAACATGGTGAAGGTTGGAGGCTACATTCTGGGAGAGTTTGGAAACCTTATTGCTGGAGACCCACGCTCCAGGTATGTTGGTTTTTGGCTGCCAAGGCTCTGTGACAGTGACGGTTTAATGAATATGTAATAACATTGCTGTCCTGTCATGCAGCCCCCTGGTCCAGTTCAACCTTCTCCATTCCAAGTTCCACCTGTGCTCCGTGCCGACCCGCGCCCTGCTGCTGTCAGCTTACATCAAGTTCATCAACCTGTTCCCGGAGACCAAGGCCACCATCCAGGAGGTGCTGCGCTGCGACAGCCAGATCCGCAACTCAGACGTTGAGCTGCAGCAGCGTGCTGTCGAGTATCTGAAGCTTTCCTCCATCGCTAGCACAGATGTCCTGGTTAGTTCTTAGGACCCAACACAGTTCAGGTTAAATAATTATGATTTCACGTTTCAAGGACCACAGGTTGACATAGTTAATAAATGTTTGTTACACTGTCTTCTAAGACGATCCAGTCCAAATCCCTGCAGTCATGTTCTTGTTGATGTATGCTCCTCTCTGAGTCTGGACCCACAGCATGAGTGTCCTCTGTGTTGTACAGGCTACAGTCCTGGAAGAGATGCCTCCCTTCCCAGAGCGGGAGTCATCAATCTTGGCTAAGCTGAAGAAGAAGAAGGGGCCCGGTACTGTGTCCGTGACAGATCTGGAAGACAGCAAAAGGGAAGGCGGGGAGTTGAATGGAGGGGGTGAGCGGGGGCCAGACACAGCGGCCATGGCTTCCTCCAATGCTGTAAGCAGACTCTGTGGAGCCTCTATAAACAGTATTTCATGGTTGCTTTTAGCGTCCTTTCATGTATACCAGCAGCTGCAACAAAAATACTACATTGCAAGTTTCCTTTGTGTTACAGTCCACCCCGTCACCATCAGCAGACCTCCTTGGGATTCGTTCGGCTGCCCCTGTTGGTGCTGCTCCAGCCAGTGCTGGCAGTCTATTGGTGGATGTGTTCTCTGAGGCAGGGCCTGCTGCACCTTCTGCTGCTGTGAACGATGACGGCTTCCTAAGGTGAAAGCTCTTTTTCTTCATATGTACATTGAGAATTAGCCAAAGTCCAGGATGAATATCTAGCCAGCTACTTATCAGTTTTCTAGTTGACATCATATTTGATAAACCAGCTGTTACTTAAATGCATGTTTGACACACAGAATGTTCAGAAAGTGTCTCTCATACTGGACTAGGCTGAATAGGTCTTTGACCCGAATGGTTGTTTTTTTGTTAAGTGAAATAGTCGTTAATGTTTGTGGTGTAGTCTGCACTGTAAGGCTAAAATGTTACATGTGTCTGTGCTGATTGCTGCACTGATGGCTCTTTCTTTCTTTGCTCTATCTTTGTCTAATATGGACCTGTCAACCTATAGACATTCATACTCAGATACTGATAATGCTCTGCTTTTTTAAAGTGGTCAGGTTTTGTATAATAAGTAGCCCACATGTAATATAAGCAAGAATAAGGATTTACTGTCACTGGTGTCTTGGCCTAGAGACAAATATCTCTTCTATTTTCACCACGAAAAACTAAGAGAAGCCGCCCCCTACTCTGAATTTACATTTACTTAAAAGTTTTGAATCCAATTTATCGTTCTTAGAGTGTAAAAGACAAAAATGTGTTGTAACCCTAGTTAGGAGATAACAGATCTGTGTGCTGAATCATCACGGGGGGGGGAACACGCAGGAGGCTGTCAGTCTCTAAGCAGTCTACAGGGGTTACAGAGAGCAGGAAGTAGACTTTTTTTTCAGGGTTGGCAGGTCTGCTATACTTGTCTTTTCTTATTATCTTGCTATGTATGTGACTGTCTTTCGTCTTTTTCTCTCCTTCCCCTCTCTCCTTATCCCTCTCTCTCTCTCTCTCTCTCTGTGTGTGTGTGTGTGTGTGTGTGTGTGTGTGTGTGTGTTGTGTGTGTGTGTGTGTGTGTGTGTGGTGTGTGTGTGTGTGTGTGTGTGTGTGTGTGTGTGTGTGTGCTGTGTGTGTAGTGCTGTGTGTGTGTGGTGTGTGGTTGTGGTGTGTGTGTGTGTGTGTGCTGTGTGTGTGGTTGTGGGGTGTGGTGTGTGTGTGTGTGTGTGTGTGTGTGTGTGTGTGTGTGTGTGTGTGTGTGTGTGTGTGTGTGTAATTGTGTGTGGTGTTAGTGTGTGTGTGTGTGTGTGTTGTGTGTGGTGTGTGTGTGTGTGTTGTGTGTGTGTGTGTGTCCTCCTCACCGTGATGGCCCTTTGACAGAGATCTGGAACAGCCCACCGCGACCCTGTGACTCCCTATTGGTGGAGGGTTCTGGTGACTCGGAGTAAGGGCCCAGTAGTAAACTACAGAACTAGCTAGTGTCAAAGAAATACAAGTATAGTAGTATACACATTTGTTTTCTAGGACAGACTTTTTATCTTCAAATGAACATTATTTGATCAGATCCACTACCCTGAATGTTTAGGTTTATCTAGATTACATGTACATAATGCTTGAACGTTTTAAACCTTATCAAAGGAATCATATACCATAGTTAGCCACGAGGAGCTCATCTACGGGGAGAAGAAAACAGTGTCCAACATTTTCCCAATGTAGGTGAAAATAGACCCCTGTTGTTTCTGGCAAGAACATTTACCATATACACTTAATGTACATGTTATGAAAGCAGTCAATGGGAGCTGACAATTAGACATCATCATTAGATGTATAGTGTTCCACCTGTAGACCACTGAGACTGGCTTTCTGTCAAACTAATGTTGCAAAGTAGTCAGAACTACTAACATTAACAAAAGCATCAATAACATCTTCTAAAAGCTATTCTGATGCTTCTTTAATTGAGCCGCTGAGTGTAACTGACATTGTAAGTTATGTGAACACATTTGTGTGAGCAGTAAAAACGACAGAATGAATGTAGTTGGGCTCTGTACTCAAGAAAAGACCATATCATATAACTGGTGTGTGAGGAGAGAGTTGGCTTTCAGTGGTTAGTCATTGCTACATGTAAACACTTTGAACTGTGGCCAATTATGTAGGTCGTCAAATCTGTGTGCAGTGGAGTCGGCAAAATGTGTTTCTGTTCTGAATACATGAACTCTCAAATCAGCTGAAAGTCTGCACTTCAATCTCAAAGGCATTTGTTCCATTTCTGATTCAAGGTGCTTGAGTACAGCATCAACATACAGACATTTTAAAACAGTAGATACCATTCAATGTGTAATGATATTATTTGATACAAACTGCTTTTACTAACCACCGCTGCATTTTATTCTTTTTTTTTTCTTCCTCGTGTTTCTCTGAACCAATCTTTATCTCACTGTGTGCCGCACCCTGTGGTGAATGGATGCTTTTTCACTCCTCATTTCTACTCTATCCATTGACTCCTCCCTGGCTGTGTGTCCTGTCTGTATCCTCCTCCTCCTCCTCCTCCTCCTCCTCCTCCTCCTCCTCCTCCTCCTCCTCCTCCTCTGTCCTGTGCTCTCAGCTCTGCTCCTCCCTCTGAGGATCCTGCTCCTCCTCTGCCTGAGGCAGACGAACTTCTTAACAAGTAAGCTCTTTCTCTCTCTGTACTTTGTCATGTGTTTGCCTAGCTGAAACCATACTGGATTTCTGTAGGGTTTGCCATAGCAAGAGAGAGATAAGCACTTACATTTAACAAGGACTACACCTATAACATCCACTTGACAGAGCTGTTATAACTTGAGGGATAATCCAATTCTGATGTTTTAAGGAGTCTCTGCAAAATCCACTCCTTTTCCCCATGCAAGTTGGTCAGCTGTTTCGGCTGACCGACTGTTTTTCAGGAAAATAATAATTGTGCAGTTGGACTGGAGCTACTAACTGTGTAAGCTTTATTTAATGATAATGCTGTTGGAAGCACTTCTGAATACAGCAAGCCACTTTATATAAGTCATTCTGACACCACTCACACTGACCAGAACAAACCCTTCTTAGGGTCGATATAATGGGTTGCTTTGGATATGATAGAAGTGCAATTTTCAAAGCAAATGTTAGTGTTGACTAACCCTTGAAACGCCTTCATCCAACAGGTTTGTGTGCAAGAACAATGGGGTTCTGTTTGAGAATCAGCTTCTACAGATTGGCATAAAGTCAGAGTATCGTCAAAATCTGGGTGAGTGTTCTTCACAGAGAGAGGAGCATCCTGCCAGGATGCAGCGACACTCTGACATGGGTTGTTGTGATTGGCGGGGCCTGGCAGATGGTGGATGTTGTTCTGTTGCCTAGGTTACTGATATTTAGGGCTGGACAATATACCGACTTCTTTTATATATCAATAGTTTTTCAAACGGGATATAGGATGAGAACATATGACTGAAATCAATATAGTTTGATGTTCCTCTCGTAAAGCCATGTCGGCGTTTGCATCTCTCCACCCTCACATTCTCCACGGAACCCACTCATGCCCCATGAAGTCTGTCACTGAGTCTCTGAGCGATGAACCTACATCATTGATCTTTGCTCTATCGTAGAAAACTATCCTATTATTATAACACTATTTAACAACTATTTAACAATATGAAAACAACTTGGCTAATAAACCCAACACATCCCAACCATTGACCCAGCCTAAACTAGTCTTGTTTGCTTGTGACATGTAGATTTGACTTACTAACATATTGCCCATTTCCTAGAAAATACAGATATTTATACTGTTTATATATACTGTGTCATAGGGCTGCTTGATTATGGCAAAATCATAATCTCGATTATTTGGGTCAATAATTGATATCACGATTATTAAAAAAAACGATTATCCATTTACTTTGAAAACATCCATTTATTGAAAATAAAAATGTGAACAGTATATTTTTAACAGTTGATTATCCTGAACTTTAAGTATAATTCAACTGAAAAACCAATACAAAATAAAATAATCGTTTTATTTCGATTATGTTGTTTTCATAATCGTTGCAAGCCAAAATCGTAATTGCGATTCAAATACGATTAATTGAGCAGCCCTATACTGTGTCATGCCTTTCAACCTCAAAATACATGATTTGTGTTCCTTATCGCCCAGCCCTACCGGGTTTAAAGAGCTGTGTAGTGTGGGTTTATAACTTCATCTGTATCAGATAGATCATTTTGCCTAGTGGGCCCGGCCTAAGTTCAAAGTGACGGCTAGGCACTGCAGAATAACCGTGTAACAACACTGTGTCTCTCAGGGAGAATGTACTTATTCTACGGTAACAAGACTTCAGTGCAGTTTGCCAGCTTCACCACCACCGTCAGCTATCCTGGGGAGCTGCAATCTCATATCCTTTTTGTGCAATCATGTTCTTGTATGTTCAGAAACCAATACACTTCAGACAACTGGGACACAGCATGCTACTCTACCAGTCCTATATTCGCTCATTAGAAACAAATCAGTATCCGCTGATAAATTACAAATGAGTTTGGCTCATTTTCTCTAACGTGCACTTAAGAGCACTAAAACATGTGAGAAGGCCATCAGCCTCGTTCAACAGAGGGACTAACCTACAGCCTGGGGTCTGTCTCTGGAGCCCTCTCATCATGCCCAGCTGCCAGCCCACTCTACACTACAGCCCCGCTTTCATGTGCGTTCCCATGGATGAATCAGTGTGCGTTTGTTTTGTCAGGCGATATGTGCACTTCTATTGAAAATCTAGAGTAATCCACAGTCCTGAGAAAGTGTGAGTGGTGTAGACAGTTTTAAGGTGTGTGGAAGTCCGTATGTGATGTCTTGATGAGCCTTGACAACCAGCCACAGCTCAACGTTCAGACCAAACCAGTAGAACCACTGGTAGAGGGGGGGGCCCAGATCCAACAGGTCCTCAACATAGAGTGTCTGACAGACTTCTCTGACGCTCCGCTGCTCAACATCAAGTTCAGGTGAGCTCCGGCAACCAAGTACACTACAGATTAAATGAGGATGACTTTGATGAATTGACTTTTAAAATCAGCAGTTTCCCTTACTCTATGGATTCTCAAATAGGCTGTGTATCATTAGAAATGGGTGTTAGTGCCCAGTGAGGGTACTAGACTAGAGCTTTTATTTAGGTTTTACACAACGTCCCAACTTCATTGGAATTGGGGTTTGTAAATACAACTTGTATTGATCAAACCATGTCAGTAAATTCATGTAATAAGTCATTCTTTGACTTATTTTCATTCATACTCGTGCCAGTATGATTTCAAAATACACATGAGTATTTATTTACATTCTTGTGGGTCTTAAATTGAAACATACAAGAACCCTGGAGGAGAGGAAAGTTAGACCCAATTAGTGTGCCAAAAACAAGTTGTAACTGATGTGTAGGTATCACTGGAGCATGGGGGGAAACAATGTATGCGCTATAGACAAGAGAATCTAGCCTGTCCACATCGAGCTGAAGACAAAAGGACAGAATGTGTGGTGTGAATGTGTAATGTTCAAAAGCATTTTGACTTTGTATTAATGTTTCCATTTGTCAGTTCTAATTTAATTATCTGAATAATGAATGAATGAAAACTTTATTACAGACTCAGGGTCCAGATAAATAGAACATAATAATATACATTTCCCAGTATTGGATAGTGTATCATCCCAATATAAGTCTCTCATCTCTTACCCAAACATACAGTTGTGTTCAAAAGTTTACATACACTTGTAAAGAACATGTATTTCATGGCAGTCTTGAGTTTTCAATCATTTCTACAACTCTTATTTTTCTGTGATTGAGTGATTGGAGCACATACTTCTTTGTCACAAAACAAACATCATGAATTTTGGTTCTTTTATGAATTTATTATGAGTCTTCTGAAAAAGTGATCAAATATATACATACAGCATTGCTAATATTTGGTAACATGTCCCTTGGCCATTTTCACCTCAATTAGGCGCTTTTGGTTTCCATCCACAAGCTTCTGGAAAGCTTCTGGTTAAGCTTTGACCACTCCTCTTGACAGAATCGGTGCATTTCAGCTACATTTGTTGGCTTTCTGACAGGGACTTGTTTCTTCAGCACTGTCCACATGTTCTCAGTGGGGTTAAAGTCAGGACTTTGGGAAGCCATTCTAAAACCTTAATTCTAGCCTGATTTAGCCATTTCTTTACCGCTTTATATGTGTGTCTGTGGTCATTTTCCTGTTGGAACACCAAACTGTGCCCAAGACCCAACTTTCTGGCTGATGATTTTAGGTTCTCCTGACCAATTTGGAGGTAATCCTCCTCCTTCATTATTCCATTTACTTTCTGTAAAGCACCAGTTCCATTGGCAGCACAACAGGCTCAGCGCATAATAGTACCACAACCATGCTTTAAAGGGGACCTATCATGCAAAATGCACCTTTTGTACGTCTTTTATACATGAATATGTGTCCCCGGTGTTCCAGGGAACTCACCAAGTGTCAGAAAACACAACCCTCTATTTTCCTCCATACCCAAATCTCTAAAAACAGGGCTGCAACGGATCTGATACAGACTGATCCAGATTTGAATTATTTTCTACGTCACAGAAGTGGTGCTCCGCCTATATGGCCAACTCTCCACCTATCAGGGGAATGAGAGGTTGGGCCACCGCCGGCCATTGCTGCTTGAAAGCGCTGGAGACGCTGTAGTACATATGCCAGGCCTGTAAGTGGCGCTGTAGTCTGCCACAAAAGCAGCGAAGAAGACTTCCCTTGCATGGTTGCCATGGTTGCCCTTCTGTTTATTCTCCGCTGTGGCTCTTTTTCTCCCTCCCCGAGGCAAGCGTTTGCTCCTGCTGCTGTAATTCAATGCAATCCCTCCCCGTCGAGGCAAGCGCTGTAATTATCTCCGGTTAGTCCACCAGCAGATGACAAACACCCACCTCTCCGCCTCTTCCAAGGACTGTTCGGCAGAGTTTCAGTTGGATTTTTTTTCGCCGGTCAACATGTCCGTTAAAGTTTAAATCTTCCGGACAAAATTAGAAAAGTGCCGGTCAAAGGTCTTCTTTGTTATTTATTGAGCTTTAAAACAAATGAATAATGACTCTATATAATCATATAAGAATAAAACACAGAGGACGGAGCCTCTCTTTTCCTCCCCCTCTTCTGACAGCCCAGCAGCTGATCTCAGAGCACGCTCCCCTCTCCTGCAGTATAAAAACTATATTTATATACTTTATATAGAATAGGTATGGCCCTACAATATATTGTTCAAATATAGTATGATAGGTCACCTTTAAGGTAGGCATGGTGTTTTTGGGGTTAAAGGTCTCACCTTCTCTCCTCCAAACATATTTCTGGTCATTTGTGTTTCATCTGACCACAGAACTTTACTCCAGAAGGCCTTTTCTTTGTCCATGTGATCAGCAGCAAACTTCAGTGGATCTTTAATGTGCCGCTTGTGGAGCGAGGGCTTCCTTCCTGCACGGCAGCCTCTCAACCCATGTCGGTGTAAAACAAGTTGGACGGTGGACACTGACACCTGCGTTCCAGCAGCTCCTAATTCATTGCAGACCTGCTTTTTGGTGGTTCCCCGTTGACTCTTGACCATCCTGACCAATTTTCTCTCAGTAGCAGGTGATAGCTTGCGTTTTATTCCTGATCAGGGCAGTGTCGCAACTGTGCCCTGTACTTTATATCTACAAACAATTGCTTGCTTAGTTAGCTGCTTTGACATGGCTACAAGTGACTTTCCTGACTTGTTCAAATGAATGATCTTTTTCAGATCTGTGCTGAGCTCCTTTGACTTTCCCATTGTAGCTTTTGTGGCTGAGTCTAATGTTTGTATCAGATGAGCCCTATTTAAATGGGTTACCAGCTATAGTGACTTATAATCACTCACAAGAGGTTAAGAGGCCACGTAACAAAGCAACATTGATTGACACAACTTTTGACATCACCAAAATGTATAATTCATCTTGCTGTATGTATATTTTTCACCCAGCAAATATGATCACATTTTCAGAAGACTCATAATAAATGAATAAAAGAAACAAACTTCATGATTTATTTATTTTGTGACAAAGAAGTATGTGCTCCAATCACTGGAGTTGTAGAGGACATACATGTTCTTTACAAATGTATGTACACTTTTGAACTCAACTTTAGCTATCTTTCTGCCTACATATTTATACTTAGTCTAAAAATGATGTGTGTGTGTGTGTGTGTGTCAGATATGGGGGAGCGCTGCAGAACCTGACCCTAAAGCTGCCTGTCACCATCAACAAGTTCTTCCAGCCCACCGAGATGACTTCACACGACTTCTTCCAGCGCTGGAAACAGCTCAGCCAGTAAGTGTGTATGTGTTTTTGTGTGTATGTGTTTTTGTGTGTATGTGAGTTAGGGATTTCATAATGTCCTGTGTGAACTTTCTTCAGACCACAACAAGAAGCACAGAAGATATTCAAGGCTAACCACGGCATGGACACAGAAGTTCTTAAGGCAAAGGTACGTGTTCTTTACACCGCTAACTATCTCATTGTAGATCTGTATTATTCTAACCCTCTGATGGTGCCCTTCTTTCCTGCTCATTCATATGCTGCTATGTTGCGGGTAGCTCCTGGGACTGGGATCGGCCCTGCTGGATGACGTGGATCCCAACCCTGAGAATTATGTGTGTGCTGGAGTGATCCAGACCAAGGGCCAGCAGGTGGGCTGTCTGCTGAGGCTGGAGCCCAACAGCCAGGCACAGGTACAGTACAACGCTTTGCTCCTGTTTTCCTATAGTCCAGATGATACACGCATATCAGAGCCTCGTTTGCAGCAAATGGTTTTTTGGCAACAACTGAAAGATTTTTTAAATCCTCGTGGATCCATATTTATTATATACATTCACATCATTTAAACATTTGGCTTGTCAAATCAAATCAAGTTTTATTTATATAGCACATTTCTAAACGATTTTTGGTGGAGCCAAAGTGCTGTACATATAATAAAAATAGCCTACAGTAGAGACACTTTACAGCAAATACAACAGCACAGATTGTTCAGAATATCAGTATGAGAAAAACGACACCCTCTATCCTTAGACCCTCTGTCCTTAGACCCTCACATCGTACAAGGAAACACTTCCAGAGAAAACCCACAGTTTAAGGGAGAAAAATGCAATAGAGTCTGGCTGCAGACCGCAGCAAGGAGGCGGATCGTATAGGGGCGGATCGTATAGGGGCGTTTCCTAAAGGGTTATGAACCCCGCCCCCACGTCTTTCTTAAAGGTATAGGACGCTCTCTGTTTCTCATTTATTTTAATGCTTTGAATGAATCATAAACGAACTTTGAAAAATAATAATTATAATTAATTTGCATAAAGAATGAAGAGTATACAACCCACAGAGAAGACACATTCATAAATTGTAGGCATATCATTTTCACTGTTTGTGCAGTGGTAGTAATTATTATTCAAATCAATCAACTACGTTTTATGGAAGATATTGCTGTATATCATTTAACAACATGAGTAGAGGTTTCTGTACACCTAAAATACTGAAGTTTAAGTTACTGTCCTGATGTGTATCATTCATTTGTTCATGTTGTGTCTGGTGGTAAGATTAATTAAAAAATAAAAAATATATATATAGTACATACAAAGAGGAAAGTCTTTATTAAACAAACATGTTATTCTTGGAAGGTGCCTCCAGCATCATAGAAACAGTCAATGCTGCAGAATCCTGCCAGCTCATCTTTTCTGATGATGCCATAACTAATGTTACATAATTATAGAAGACACATCTGAAGTGTTATTTTTACATATTGATTAGCAGCCGACATTTACTGAAAGGATGCGTCCGTCTCTCGTCTGGTTCATTACAACTAGTAGTTACACACTGTTACAGTTACAACCTTAATCAGTACCGCACATCTTATTACTCAATTCAACCAACCAAGCTAGCCATGTTGTCTATCCGAATCCATACCATATTATTTGATTAAGTTACAGTATGTAGGGCAGGCCTACTTATATTTCCAAGATAATACAAGAGTACACAACAGTACACTAGCATCATGCTAAGTGCTGGTTAGCATCACAGCATATACGCTAACCTTAGGTCAATTAGATGATCAGCTTTGGTAACACAAATCAGTATTGTTACCGAGCCTGATAATCTATTGACCTATCTAAGCTTAACGTTATTACAACAGTAGAGTAGGCCTGGTTGCAAACGGGACTATAGGCCAACGTTTTTATAGCATCATGCTAAGTTAGCATTTAATACCACAAACATTTTTACCACATACAACTATTATTTACTTTATTAACGCTTAACGAGGTTGGACAGTCGATGTTGTACTTTGATAACGAGACAATTGTGTGTTAAGAAAAATGACATTACAATAAATATAAACATGCATCTCTGGAAAATACTATTACCGCTGTTTCAACTTGTTGTTCGGCCATCGTGAAAGAACGAATGACTTATTCTGCGAGGATTTATAAAAGCAGCTGGAATCCCTTAAATTGCATTACTGCCACCTACAGTATGTATTTCTGCTGAGTGTCATTCTATTGGATAAAAAAAGTTAGGAAACGCCCCTATACGATCCGCCCCTATACGATCCGCCCCTATACGATCCGCCTCCTTGCTGCGGTCTGCAGCCAGACCCATCTCGAAAAATGGGAGAAACCTCAGGGAGAGCAACAGAGGAGGGATCCCTCTCCCAGGACGGACAGACGTGCAATAGATGCCGTGTGTAAATCGAAGAGATAATACATTTTACAGCATATAGACCGAATGTTAGGAAATGCATGTGTCTGTAATAAGAAGATGAATCCACGAGGATGTCAGCTACAATCCTGTGGAAGCCATCAGGGAAGTAGTATGACGAGACCCAAGGTCTATGATGTCACTGTATTAGTTACGTATTAAAACATACATGTATATACACGACATGTACTGCACTGTCCGTCCTGGGAGAGGGACCCTCCTCTGTGGCTCTCCTTGAGGAGGGACCCTCCGCTGTGGCTCTCTTTGAGGAGGGACCCTCCTCTGTGGCTCTCCTTGAGGAGGGACCCTCCGCTGTGGCTCTCTTGAGGAGGGACCCTCCTCTGTGGCTCTCCTTGAGGAGGGACCCTCCGCTGTGGCTCTCCTTGAGGAGGGACCCTCCGCTGTGGCTCTCTTTGAGGAGGGACCCTCCTCTGTGGCTCTCCTTGAGGAGGGACCCTCCTCTGTGGCTCTCCTTGAGGAGGGACCCTCCGCTGTGGCTCTCCTTGAGGAGGGACCCTCCTCTGTGGCTCTCCTTGAGGAGGGACCCTCCGCTGTGGCTCTCCTTGAGGAGGGACTCTCCGCTGTGGCTCTCCTTGAGGAGGGACCCTCCTCTGTGGCTCTCCTTGAGGAGGGACCCTCCGCTGTGGCTCTCCTTGAGGAGGGACCCTCCTCTGTGGCTCTCCTTGAGGTTTCCACCTTTTATTCCCTAGTTTACTGTGGGCTCTCTTTGGGAGTTTTTCCTTGTTTCTGCGAGGGTCTAAGGAGAGAGGGGGTCTTATTCTGTACAGTCTGTAAAGTCCCCTAAGACAAATGTGTCATTTGTGATATGGGGCTATATAAATAGATTTGGGTTGTCCATAGATAAAGGTATTTAATAGCATTATGTCCATAGTTAACTCACTCACACATGAGAGTTAACTAAGGGATATTTTTGAAGTTTAAATAGTCTTATCAACATTGGACAAATAGGATTGCTTTATACCGATTGTATATTCCTTATTATTTCAACAAAACAAAGACACATTTAGGTTAATTTATTAAAACATTCATCAGCTGTACGCCTGGCCAGCAAGTGGTGTTAAAGAGTCAACGTACTCCGTGGACAGTAAACAAAGTGGTGTTGTGGAGAACCGTCTGGCGGGGCTTTTGGAGCTGAACTGTTCTTTTGAGGCTTGTTTCTGCTCGCCATCAAGCCCCCAGGAAGTGCGCCGGCCATTGAAACAAATGTTGGTAGTGGCTAAACATCGGTACTACACTTACATTGTATTCCGTGACGTCATTTGGGCTCAAAAATACTTTTTCCCTGTGACGTACATTGGGAGTCTGTAAATCAGCTTGTCATTTTTTTCAGCTAAAAACACTACACGGTACGAACCCTTTTATAGCCCTTATTTATATCCTCAGTGTCTAAAAGTTGTAAAACACGCTAAAAGCTGAATACCGAGTTATTTTCCCCCTCCATTCATCTGACTGAGTAGAGAGCGGGATGTCAGAGGGAGGTGCTCACGCTCTTTGGGCCCAGAACTGTGTACTCACTGAGCAACTTTGATGAATCCGCTGAATCCAGTGCTCTTCAAACATCTATGCTTGCCATCCAACCGTTACTCACCACCATTTCCTGAAAAAAACAAGTGGCATTAAAATGAAGTTGCGTTAACGTGTTGTTATCGCTTTGCCAGCCCTGACTCAAATATATGATTCTGCTTTATGTCCTATCTAATGTGTGGTCAATTTCCAATCCCCTTACTTATAGTTCATTAGATTTGACCAGAAACACTGAGCTGGTTCAGTGCTACTTTTATACATACTCGCATTCCAAATTCTACCAAAGTAGACCATTAAGTGCCTCTTCACAAACCTCACAAATGTCTGCTAAACCAGGACCAGTCTCCGTTTGTCATTTTCCTGATTGCTTTGGTATTGTTTTCAAAATGTTGGATCTCTATCCAAGAATACCAGCCAATCTGTTAGTCACCACCGAGCAGTGTCCTTCCCTGTTTGAATATATACTTTTTAAATGTACATTATCTTTAGTTTACATTCGTTTATATAGATTTTAGTTTTGATTAGCAGGGACCATGCATAGTTGAAAACTAAAACACCTATTGGGCTTTCAGAGAGGGCATCACCACTCTAATGTTCAGACCCCGTTCATATGTTTGGGCTGCATTTAAAAATGTCTCTGTTAAAAATCTTTTTTCTGTGTGTGTGTGCAGATGTACCGTCTGACTCTGCGCTGCAGTAAGGACTCCGTCTCCAAGCGTCTGTGCGAGCTGCTGGCTGAACAGTTCTAGAGTCCGGACCCCCCCCATCACCAGTCCTCCCACCATCCCCTACCAGCGACCTCTCCTCCCCCCAACAAATAATCTTTGAGTACATAAAGGTGTAACCTACATAAGGGAAAAAGCAGCCACTGACAGCAGCAGCGGCAATATTATTGTTATTTTATTGTCCCAGATTCTGATTCCAGTCCATCTTCTACTTGTTTATTAACATGATGCTACATCTCTGTGTGTGTGTGTGTGTGCACACGTGTGTGTGCGCGTGTCGATGGTGTGTGTGAGAGAGAAAGAGTCCAAATTTGATCTGTTAGAGCATTCCTTGAAGATAAATGGGTGAGGCTGTTTATTACACACACACTCATATCCTCTCACACACTAGTATAAGGCCTCCACGTTTCCTTGTGGTTCTGGTGGAAACACTAATGAAGTGAGACCTGAGGGTCCAGAACTCTGCCGCTGCCCACTCATTTCCGTCAAGCATTCCCAGTGAAAATGCACTTAATGCGCTGACCCCCCCCCCCCCCCCCCGCCCCCGAATGATAATTCCTCTCCTGGCAGCCATGTGATGAGTTACCTGTCATTTCAAAGAGTCAGTACACTTGTTTATGTTTTTGATCTGTATGTAAATATGTGCCAGTGTATTACTTTATCGCTTTCTGAAACATTCCCATGTTGCTTGTGTAAAATGCCTGTGATGAACCCCTAGAGTGAGAGGAGGCACAGAGTGACTGTAGACGGCGGCTGAGGGTCCGACCTGGCAGCGAGAAACAGTCGGTTAGACCCTGAGTTTCTCATCAGCTGTCTGTAGGAGGCTTAGCAAGTCGTCTCTTATACAACTGGAACATTCTTTCTGAGAACACTTGGGGGAAAATCAAATGTCACTTTTGTGCTGCTTGCCCAATTATGTATTGAAATGATTTGTTGTTCTATACAACATGCCATGCAGAGGTGATATATTTCTTTCATAGTAAGCAACTTAAAGCAGCATGCTTTAGAAAGAGAGAAGACTTCATTGACAAGGACTAACTGGTCAAATGTATGTGTGGTTAAGTTTCCCACCTCTGATTAAGCGCAGGAGGGTGTGACTTTATATCAGAGCTATCATGGCTTCAGAGGACCCTACAATACTGTCTATGTCGAACTCCTTGATTTGTCTTTATGAAGAAGTGCACACAGAGATCATTTACGTAAAGGATATAACAGTTTGTCATGAGGCAGTGATGAACATATGCTGCTAAACGCAAAAACCATTCTATGAGCCAGTTCCAGAGAAGTCTGTCTGATATACATACACAACATTTAAAGAAGAGATCAATACCAACACAGTATCCCACAGCTGGAACTCTTCCTTGGCTTCCTCTCACGCACAAGCACTGATTTTGTCGGGGAGGATATGATGTAAGCATCTACAGGGGACTCGGTATGTTTGTGTTTGTGTTGATTGAATGTGGCTGTAAGCAGGTATACATGGTTACATTACATTCTCTGGCTGCGTGGCAATCACAGGACATTGAACTTTGTAGTGGAAAATATAGTCATTCTGTGAGTGTGTGTGTATGCAGTGTTCACTAGCTAATGCAGCCTCGTGTATCAGTGTTAAGAACCTGTCCAATACCTGTGTTAGAATTAAGATTTACTCTGTAATGAAAAGATGTGAAAGTAAAACTATGCCATATATCCAATATGACGCCTCCTGTCTTCGTGTGGTATTCCAGTACAGCACATGCACGACGCGTATATGTTCAACCAATTAAATGGAAACGCCAAACAATACTTTAATTCTGGCACATTCTTTGAATTTTGCAGGAAAAAAGTCATGAGAAGTCCAACTTACGTGAAGGTAGATGTGTGCTGTAACCCCTTTGGCCTAGGCACTAATACAAACGGCAGTTATATGGACAATGCTAAACATACTGTATGCTCTCGTATTCACATTTCTAGCTTTGTGTAACATTACTATAATATCCCCATAATGGCTTTGTGTAACATTACTATAATATCCCCATAATGGCTTTGTGTAACATTACTATAATATCCCCATAATGGCTTTGTGTAACATTACTATAATATCCCCATAATGGCTTTGTGTAACATTACTATAATATCCCCATAATGGCTTTGTGTAACATTACTATAATATCCCCATAATGGCTTTTGTGTAACATTACTATAATATCCCCATAATGGCTTTGTGTAACATTACTATAATATCCCCATAATGGCTTTGTGTAACATTACTATAATATCCCCATAATGGCTTTGTGTAACATTACTATAATATCCCCATAATGGCTTTGTGTAACATTACTATAATATCCCCATAATGGCTTTGTCGAGACTGACAGTCATTCAAAAAGGTTGCTTTGCCTTTTTAGCTCAGCCTATGACTCAGTGGAACAACTATTCCTAAAAAAACTAAATCTTATAGAGGAATGTGCCAGAGATAGGCTCTGTCCAATGCTGCTGCATACAACACTTCATTATCAAACTAGGTTTTAACAAATTGGTAGACTGATTAGCTTTCAACAAAGGTTTTTGAACACTGCTTGCTTTGCCTGTGGGACAAGGTGCATCTTTTGACTCTTCTCCTGATCAAAATGGATCAATAGCCTAAAACGTATGCCTTAAGAATGAAAAGAGTATGTATGTTTAAAGAAAATCTAGAAAAGTATTAGCATCAAAATATAGTGAAAGTACTAAAAGTAGTGATTGTGCAGATTGGTCCATTTCAGAATAATATATATGATATGTTTTATAATGATTAATCATTAAAGTGTTCTCAAAGCTGGTAAAGGTGCAGCTAGTTTGAATGACTTTGTATACTGCAGGGTAGCTGGTGGATTTACTCCAGGTGGAACTAAAGTCTGATTCAACACTTGGTTAGATTTCACATCATTCATCCACATCTGTGAAGTAACTAAAGGGATTCAATACATGAAGTGGAGGAGAAGTACACCATGTACCTCAGAACTGTAGTGGAGTAGAAGTACACAGTAGCATAAAATGGAAATACCCAAGTAATGAACAAGTACCTCAAAATTGTACTTAAGTACAGTACTTGAATACACGTACTCAATAACTTAACAACACTGAACCTTATCCAATAAACTTAATAATACAAAAAATAAACCTTTATATTTATAATCTTGTAGTGTCTCGCTACAGGAACTCAATGAGACGTTATATGTCTTTGCCCCACGAATGTAGAACAGAACACAGGTTACTGTGGGCCGTAAACAAGGAACTTATTATACATCAATGTTCGTGACTCTCAAACACTCGGCTGAGGGTTTTAACAAAGAAATGAAATGTGTGAGAGGAAGCTTCTGCAATCACGGGGGTGATAACAGAGTGAGACAGAGAGTGGGGTGAGACAGAGGGTGAGACAGAGTGGGGTGAGACAGAGAGTGGGGTGAGACAGAGGGTGGGGTGAGACAGGGTGAGACAGAGGGTGGGGTGATAACAGAGAGTGAGACAGAGGGTGAGACAGAGAGTGGGGTGAGACAGAGGGTGGGGTGATAACAGAGAGTGAGACAGAGAGTGGGGTGAGACAGAGAATGGGGTGAGACAGAGAGTGGGGTGAGACAGAGGGTGGGGTGAGACAGGGTGAGACAGAGGGTGGGGTGATAACAGAGAGTGAGACAGAGGGTGAGACAGAGTGGGGTGAGACAGAGGGTGGGGTGATAACAGAGAGTGAGACAGAGGGTGAGACAGAGAGTGGGGTGAGACAGAGGGTGGGGTGATAACAGAGAGTGAGACAGAGAGTGGGGTGAGACAGAGAATGGGGTGAGACAGAGAGTGGGGTGAGACAGAGGGTGGGGTGAGACAGGGTGAGACAGAGGGTGGGGTGATAACAGAGAGTGAGACAGAGGGTGAGACAGAGAGTGGGGTGAGACAGAGGGTGGGGTGATAACAGAGAGTGAGACAGAGGGCGGGGTGAGACAGAGGGTGAGACAGAGAGTGAGACAGAGGGTGGGGTGAGACAGAGGGTGAGGCAGAGAGTGAGACAGAGGGTGAGGCAGAGAGTGAGACAGAGGGTGGGGTGAGGCAGAGGGTGAGACAGAGAGTGAGACAGAGGGTGGGGTGAGACAGAGGGTGAGGCAGAGAGTGAGACAGAGGGTGGGGTGAGACAGAGGGTGAGACAGAGGGTGAGGCAGAGGGTGAGACAGAGTGAGACAGAGAGTGAGACAGAGGGTGAGACAGAGAGTGGGGTGATACAGAGGGTGAGGCAGAGGGTGAGACAGAGAGTGAGACAGAGGGTGGGGTGAGACAGAGGGTGAGGCAGAGAGTGAGACAGAGGGTGGGGTGAGACAGAGGGTGAGGCAGAGGGTGAGACAGATAGTGAGACAGAGAGTGAGACAGAGGGTGAGACAGAGAGTGGGGTGATACAGAGGGTGAGACAGAGAGTGAGACAGAGGGTGGAGCAGAGACATCACAGAGAGAGAGAAAGACACTGCTGCACACTGAAACACATGAAGACTGTGGGCTATAACACACACACACACACACACACACACACACAATTGTTAAGGGGATCCGCATCCCCTTAACAATTGTGTGTTTTGAGCTGTACTGTACTGTACTGTACCCAGAGAAAGACTTTCGTCTTGTTTACATCAGGGTAACCATTTTAATTCATCATATCATATATGACATACAGATAGACAGTACTGTTACATCTAGACATTTATGACATACCAGATCTACAAATATACAGTACTGTTTGTGATAACAGAGAGTGAGACCGAGAGTGGGGTGAGACAGAGAGTGGGGTGAGACAGAGAGTGGGGTGAGACAGAGAGGTGTCTGGTGTTATGATCATGGTATTCACTGACCTTTGGGAAGAATTTTGACATGTACATGGGTACCATAGAGGTGTAGTGGATCTTGTAGACCAGGCCCATTGCAAGTAGCTGTACTCTGTCGTCTACTCTAAGCCATCCTAGGTTGTCAAAGTGGGCAGAGGTTAGGTGGGTTCTAGATGAAAGGTCAAGCAGTAGTCTGACCAGTTTATTTTGCGATGTTTGAAGTTTTATTTGTAGCGCCTTGGAGGTGCTATGGTACCATGACGTGCAAGCATAGTCATAGTACCCTTGAATGAGTGCTCCTGCCAGAGTTTTCAGGGTGTTTTTGTTTACCAGAGAGGAGATCCGGTATAGGAATCTAGTTCTTTGATTGACTTTTTTGATTACATTGGATGCCATTTTGTCACAGGAGAGGTTTGCCTCTAGTATGGAACCTAGGTATGTAATTTCATCTTTCCTTGTGACAATATTGTCACCCACTGCAACTGAGAAGCCGTCGGTCTTGCTGAGTTTGTTTTTTGAACCGAAGACAATGGACTCTGTTTTACCCAGGTGTAATGATAGTTTGTTATCGGCGAGCCAGGTGCAGATTCTGCCGAGTTCCGAGCTGAGGGTTTTTTCCACCTGCAACCTGTTCCTGCCAGAGACCAGCAGGGCTGAGTCGTCCGCGAACAGGAACAAGTTGCAGTCACAAGCTGATGACATGTCATTTGCATAAATTAGGAACAGTAACGGACCTAATATGCTTCCTTGTGGAACACCACAGCTCACTGGGAGGGAGGGGGGGGGGGGGGGGTGGAGTACCGTTTACCTCCACCTCTCCACTCAACATGCACTGATGAACATGACAAGAGATGTCATGACAGTGAAGACAGCTGCTGATACTTTTGTTGAGTGGGCAAATGCAAAACTGGAGGCAGAAGAGGACTGTGAGCTTGAGTTGGAAACAACACTTCCACTGAAGAGGAACAGGAAAAGGAAGATGATGGCTGGCGAAATGGCAAGTGATGAGAGATGGACAGATGCAAACAGGGCCTATGAAGTAGAGGTCCATAACCAGGTCCTGGATACTGTCACAGACAGTATCAAATGACGCTTCATGACCCACGGCACTCTGTATGCTGACTTGGCTGTCCATGATCCAAGAAACGTTCCCCAAGTGTGTTCAGCAGAAGCTCTGCCTGACTCTACATTTCAAGATCTAAGCAAATGCTTGCTTAGGTTTGACAGCAGGGCAACTGCTGCAAATGTGCAGTCTGAGTTGAAGTGTCTGGCAGCCCAGTGGCCACGGCTTAAAATGTCTGCACTTGAAGAGTACAGAGTAAGACTTTGCTCTGGTTGTGAGGAAGAAGAGACAGAGGTTTTAAACTAACAGTGCAACTCTTGTAAAGAATGCTCAAAATGTTGCTACCAACTTCTGAAACGCTACAACCTCTTCACAGATGGCTATCAGCTCCTTGGTTTAGGATACACGTTTCTTCTCACTCTGCCTGGGACACAGGTAGCTTGTGAGAGAAGTAAGTTTCTCTGTACTCAAGCACATCAAAAGCCGAATAAGGAGCACACAGTCACAAGAACACCTGGAAGCATTCATGCTTATGTCAACAGAAAAAGACATCCTCATGTCCCTCGACAATGACTTGGTCGTCGACAGAGTTGCAGAAAAAAGCAACCTACTAAAGAAACTGCTGATCCCCCAACATTAGGTTTACAAACCGCCTCAGACAATCTTGTTTATTTCTTTTAGGTCCCTTAAACTGCAGCCTAATAAACAGCTGATTTTTGTGTGTGTACTGTTTTATGATGTCCCATGTGTTAAGACATCTGAGGAGTGTCCTCCCTCTTCTCTTCTCTGATTTCTAATAACTAATAGTACTGTATTATTTTATCTGATCTCCCCCCCCCCCCCCGTTGACATGACATGTGGCTGGACTGGGTCAGATTCCAGGGCTGAATTTTAGTCCCAGTCCGCCCCTGGATGAGCTCATCGCTTGGAAGTCAGTTAGTGTGCGCAGAGTGAGGACAGAGGACAGTCTGCAGACGGAGAGCTGCTGTGGGATTCTACAGGAATATATCCAACACTTACAGTGAGTAATACATCGATATTTTGCGTGAGATAGAAAAAAACAGCACATGTTCACAATGTGATTATGTTCACAAAAGCCTGCAGGGTTGACATGCAGTGTTTTTTGTGCTCCAGATATGGGTTTGTCCCGGGAGAGGGACGCGGAGACCCCCCTGTCACTCATCCTGCCGCGGCTCTACCTGGGGGCGCAGAGGGACGTGGCGCAGGTGAGAGGACTGCCGGAACTCTGTTCACATGTCGCAAAATTATCCATCATCTCTGTAAAAACACTCGTTCAAATCCAGTGGTCAAATGTTTCTAGGTAGGGCTGTGCCACATGCAATCAATGTCAGCATACATCCCTGTATGACTTAATGCAAAAGAGTTTTCAGTGTTCATTTACCACTCTTACATTTGAATGCCTCCATAAACAATTTAAGCATTTGAGACTGAGGACTACACAAACTTAAAAACAATGGCATTAGCAATACCTTCAAATTCGAAGTTTTTAATTTATTTCAATTGTTTCTACTTTGTAGATTAAGACTGAAGACATCAAAACTATGAAAGAACACATATGGAATTATCTAGTTAACAAAAGAGTGTTAACAAATCCAGAATATGATTTGTATTTTAGATTCTTCAAAGTAGCCCCCTTTTGCCTTGATGACAGCTTTGCACACTCTTGGCTTCTCTCTGTGTTGAGCAGAGGTAGGGTAGTGCACAATGGAAAGCCCTATTTGACTACTGTTGTAATCCATATTATGACAAGAACCACTCAACTCAGTGAAGAGAAGCACCTGTGCTGGAGGAGCACCTAAAGACCGCCCACCGTTTTTAAAGGCACGTCAAAGACGTACACCACATTGATTTTAAGAATAAGAATAATTATTATTAGTTTGGTTCCAAATGCCGTATCTTTGTGAGACGCAGAGAAGGTGAGCAGATGGTTTCTGCATGTGTGGTCCCCCCGTGAAGCATGGAGGAGGAGGTGTGATGGTGTGGGGGGGCTTTGCTGGTGACACTGTTGGTGATTGATTCAAAATTCAAGGCACACTTAACCAGCATGGCTACCACAGCATTCTAGCCAGCAAAATATAACTCATATTCTTGATTTTTTAACACTTTTTTGTTTACTAGATAATTCCATATGTGTTTTATAGTTTTGATGTCTTCAGTATAAATGTACAATGTAGAAAAAATAAATAAAGACTTAGAATTTGAAGGTGTGTCCAAACTTTTGACTGGTACTGTATGATGTGTGTGTATATATATATATATATATATATGTAGGTATATATATATGTATATATATATTTTTTCAGTTCAAAGCCTTCCAAAATGTAACTGTGGGCTATGCTCTCCTCTGTGGCCATTCACATGTTGAGTTCTGAAGAGGATACGTTCCTTAACTGTTGCGCTCTTTATAATAATACTGATGTCTAACCACACCGTGGATCATTGTTGAATATCATGAGTGTGTGAGCCCTGCAGACCAGAGGCCCTAACCACTTCCTGTCTCTTTATCAGCTTTGTGAAAGAGCACCGGCCCTCCATTTCCCACAACTTCAACTCCCAGCAGCAGCCGGACCCTCATCTGCCCTCAGCAGAGGAGCAGGGGCCACACAGAGACTCAGCAGAGGAGCAGGGGCCACACAGAGACTCAGCAGAGGAGCAGGGGCCACACAGAGACAGACCCCCGCAGAGGCCCTCACACTCACAGCTGTCAGGGACACTTGGTTGCAGCCAGCAAGCAAAGTGCAGCTCCACACCTCAAACTTTCCACAGCAGTGAGCTGGGTACCACACGGCCCCCCAGGCACAGGGAGCAGCCCCCCCCACCCTTGAAGTGCAGCACATCAGAGATGAAGGAGCAGGGGCTGCTCAACAAGCTGCTGGGCTGGGGGGAGAGGATCCTGCTGGGGGGGCTGTTTGTCCCCCCCAGTTAAGATGGGACAGCCTGCGCTGCCGTACAGGTGCTGAGGGTGTTGTTTCTGTTTGTGGCAGCATGGTGTCATGAGAGAGAACTCCTGTCTCCTATTTATTTATTGCAGAACTGAAAATAAGGATTATACTATACTAATAATAAACACCTACACAATTGCATCGTGTTGGCAAAATGTGACTTTTATAAGATTCATTTATTTAAAAAGACTTGTTGCCCACTTGCGTGAGATGTGTTTACGGATGAGGATTAAACATGATATGTCCAACGTGTCTCATCTCCTTCTTATCAGTGCGGTTTAGAGCGGCACTTCCCAAGATAGGTATCTAGTTTGTAGGTATCATATTACTCATCACAATCATGACACCAGAAAATACTACCTCTGTTCTAAACCTTTACTTGCCTAAGAAGCCAGTGTTCTCTCTGAATCTCCCCTTCTTCCTCACATTCCACAGAACACCTGCGGGATGTGAGGAAAGGCAGGAGTGCAAAAGTAATGATGTGGTGAGGGTGTAGTCATGCAGACTTGTGCGCTGGTAAAATGGCCGTCAGAATTTGTATGTGGTGCAATCTATTGGCCTGCAAAAAGCTCTACAGTGGGCCCAATGCCAGCTGAAAGAAAGGTCCAGATATCAAGCAGGTACAATGCAGAACACCAGGGGCTGGCTGTGGGGGGGCAGTTTGATTGAGAATATAGTGTAATCACTAATGAATGATTTCAACTAACACTACAAAGGTTTTGGATGTGGAAACCCCTTCATTGTTTTCGCTGATATTGCGCATACACTACATGTTCCTAAAGGATAACGGACTGTACACAGAGATTGAAGCATAGCAGACCGGAGGGAAAGTGTATGGCAAGCAGTGAGGTTTTATTGTTCTATGGGGGACAAAGTTTAACAGTGCAGTGGAGATGTAAGTCTGTTTGTTTTTGACTTTCATTCTTGAGTATTATATTTTCTTTACGAATGAAAGTGATTAACCAAACCGGTTGTTCAAGAGGTTGTATTCCATCAGCTTAATGTTGCCATATCATTAATAAACTCATGCTATTATATTATTAGCAGTCGTAACACAAGTTACATTTCATCACATTATTGTCATTATAATTGCAGCATTCATTCTGTTTTAACTGAGTCAATGTCATTGTTCTTATGGATATTGTGCTGCAGTCAGACATGTAGCTGCACGCCAGCGGCTGCAAGACTGCAGCCTGTTGGCGGGGGGCCAGAGGGAGGTATGTGCTGCCTCAGGGCAGCTTTCTCCAGCATAGAGGGCTGTACACGGTTTACAGATAACATGTAATAGTCACTATAACCTTTCAAAGTTTACCATGAAGAAGTGGTTTCTCATTCTCAACTTACATGTGTTGTTCCAGCTCAAACATTACTGAAAAGTTTGATGGTAAACTAAGGAGACAACATCTGTTTATTTAAATAATGTAATATTATTATGGATAAATATAATGACAGTAAATATTTCGGGCCTCGTGCTGCTTTTCAAATGCGCGGGCCAGTCGGTTAAAATTATGTCACGGACACTCCACATGACCAAATAAGGAAACTGACACATGATGGTGGAATTCGTACCGATCAGATTTCACTAAGAAGAAAGCTAAAGTATGTGAAGTACCGACTAGTGTGTGTGTGTGTGTGTGTGTGTGTGTGTGTGTGTGTTGTGGTGTGAGTGTGTGCGCGTGTGAGTGTGTGTGTGTGCGCATAAGTTTCTCGAGAAAAAAGAAAAGAGGAAGCAGTCCCGCCCCCAGAAGAAGCTGGAGGTCGAGCAGAGAAGCAGCTCCACGGATTTGTTCAGCCCAAAACCTGAAGCTAAAGCTCGGTTATCTTAGTCTTTACTTCGGCGGAGCGGCGGTGGACTCAGGGACTTTTGTGGCCAGGACTGATAGGACATGAGCTTCAGGTAGAGGAGTTCCATTTTGTCGCTAAAGTCGTCCATGCCGCGCTCCTCTGCTCACATTCCGTGAAGAGGCGGATCTACTTTACTTTGGATTGTTGTGCTGCTGGGCGGTTGATCGGAACAGGGCCGGACCAGAGGCAGGATGAGTGCAGAAGAAGAACGATTCAAACTGGTTGTGGTGGGTGGGGGCGGGGTGGGGAAGAGCGCCCTCACCATCCAGTTCATCCAGGTATGAAACATCTGTAACATCTGTCCTCTGTGTGTGCCATGTTTAAGTCTTTGTTGAGGCCTACCGCCAGTCTGCTCTGCATCAGTGGTGAAAGTAACAAACTGCACTCAAGCACTAGTTACATATTCTTTAAATTAGACATCAAATGACATTTTGCATACTACTTCCTGAACTTTGAAGTATCAAGATGTGATGCTCATACATACCTCATGTAGGCCTACCACGTTTGTACACTAAAGTGTTATTACTTTCACTTCAATACGAGATTTAGCCTTTTGGCAACATTGTTTTTTATTGACATCCCATAACAGCTTTCACCTCACCTAATCCAGTTATGTGCAATCTGTCTACATACTACATGTAATGAAGTAAACGTTTCAGCTTTATCAGTGAACGGAACATCCTCTGAAAGTTGCTCTGTTAAAGTATTTCATGAAGTAATCCTCACACAGAGGATGTTCCTGTGAGCTCTGTAGCTCTGGCTCACTGTGATGTTAATCACATCACACCTGTGTGACTTTGATTGGCTGCTCGTATCGCCTCACCACAACACAGAAGAGACCATGACCCTTTGTTACCAGCTACGGGCAAGGCCAGTAAAAGAGTTATGAAGTGGTTCATGGGAATTGTGTCTTTTCACTGAGCCAGATCATTTGGCTCGGTGATGAGATGCAGACCGTTCTGCTCTTCACTATGTGTGCGCACATGGTCCCTTTGTGTTCCGTTTTAACAGTGAAGGAACTTTTTTTTATCCCCAACACGCATTCGCAAATTGTTATTTTGTATTAATTACAAATGTCATATACTTCATCGTGCTGCTAGTCAATTCATTGTATTGCCCGGGCAGCCATTGCTCCAAAGAGCCACGTTTACCCAGTGACTGTGGCAAATGCAAGTGAACATACATTAACATTAAATACAACTTGTTCTTACAAAGCAACTAAAGAACAAACTAGAACTTAGGTAAACTGTTGAGTGAATATAAAAGCGGACGTTGCCACCGTGAGGTCGTCCTTTGGTTTGTGGACTTGGCATTTTGTGAGACACAGTCGGTTAACCTGGAGCAACTCACGTGAACAGGACACATTTAGTAGACCAACTCGTGGACAAAAACACAGACAATTCCAGACCGGACTGAAACGTGGTATTGACTTGTCAATCACAAAGAAGACCCGCCCTAAAGCATACCAATGCTATCATCTCTTTTACTGCAAATGGGACCATGATTTACAAAATAAACATCATGCTGTATTGGAGAAGACTTGAGATTCTTCTCATCGGCACACGGTCATTATAAAGAATGTTATTACCAGTATCATTAGGATTGTCCTTGACCATAAAATACTTGTTCATTAGCAATTACTAAAGTCCAATCTCCAACTGTCACTATGGAGCCAGGTACTTGTTGAAGTATTGAGCAGTATAAACAGAAGTACTTTGTTATTAACATTGAGTGTATCCCACAGTCCTACTTTGTGTCAGACTACGACCCCACCATCGAGGACTCCTACACCAAGATCTGCACCGTTGGGGGGAAGGAGACCCGGCTGGACAGTAAGGCTCGTACTTCTTAATGTTTGTCAGAGTGTGTGTACGGCTTTGTTTAAAACACTGAGGGTGTGTTGCACTGTGACAGTGTTTGCTCTCTGGAGCTTGAATTCCCTTGTTAGGACTTGTGCTTGGCCAGTGTGCAGGAAGCCAGGCTGGGGTTGGCTCACACTGCTGTCTCCCTACACACACATGTGAATCATCCTGTGTACAGCTACTGTTTCCAGGACTCTGGCTGTTCTTCAGACCATTGGTTTACTGCGCTGTGGATTGAAGTCCACTGTGAGAACCCTCTGAATGTTCTCCCTTCCTCTTTACAAACATTACTGTCCACTCAAAGTCAAGTTAAGCTTCTCTGCTGAACTGAAGTATTATAAGCCATCTTTAAAAGCACTTAGATTAGTTATCTGCTACACAATATGTCTCATAGTGATTTGTGCACAGATGTAGCAGTGGGTGGTGTTCAGGGTGACACACACACACACACACACACACACACACACACACACACACACACACACACACACACACACACACACACACACACACACACACACACACACACACACACACACACACACACACACACACACACACACACACACACACACACACACACACACACACACACACACACACACACACACACACACACACACACACACACACACACAGAGAGCTCAGCAGGAACATGTTAAGGTCCAGGTCCTGCCTCATCACATCAGCTGCTTTAAAGGAAAACCTCAAAGACTTAGATAATTATTAAGATGAGATTAAAACATAACTTCCCACATTGTGTCTCTGTTTCTTTACAAGGTATCTCAAGGACTGAGTTTGGTGCGTAAACAGTATCATAGTAGTAGTGATAGTATCAGTATTTTTGTCTTTATGAATGGAATTCATTTCCATTAGTTCTTTGTAAATGTTTCTAAGTAAACAAGTACATATGTCATTTATATCAACCAAGTAAATAGACTTAAAAAGTGTACACCAATTGAGTATTGGAAGAGTCTGTGAGGGTCCTGGAACTATGTGCAGTAACAGCAGCTGGTTTCTGACAGGTTTATCAGAACACCTGCTCAGCTCTGTCACGTGAATCTTCTGATGGAAGAAGCGTACACTAAAGTGAAGCAGTGTGCTGCCCTGCCCCCTCCTACATGAGTCACCTCACACGCAGCACACCCTGTGATGACGCTCTTCTGTGTGAATATCAAATATGGCCGACAGTCCGATATAGTATAGTATTGTCACATGCATTATAATATTCAAAAATCACTTCATGCGTCAACCTCAAGTCCTGTTTGGATTTGTGTTGGGTTGGTATCGAATCCCAGCTTCAAACTACCACTAACCAGCTCAACACAACTTCTCCCAGCATGCAGTACACTTACACATGCACCACAGGGACTGTTTTTACAGCTGATTGCCCATAATTACCTGTTTCTCTGATAAAATAACGAATTATACATAATGTATATATATATATATATAAGTGTTCTATTTTAAAAAGAAGATCATAACCGGCAGTTAATGTACACCTGACCTCACAAACACTGTACTTTGCCTCTTCTTCTTCTTCTCTGTGTTTGCAGTGAAATTGTGAGAGAAGCCTTTCCTTTAGCTCAGTGTAAAACTGTTACCTGATTTTATTTTTGATTTAATAAAGTGTTGAAAGTTCAAAACATTTAAGCACTTCAACAAATGATGACATAAGTTGTAAAATGCTTAATAAGCACCGTAACCACATGATCTGCATTTCTTGTCACCATCAGTTGTTTCCGTGAACGGCCGAATGTTGTGTCACTGTACGGTTGCAGTCGAATTGTTCAAAAATCAGCTCCTATCGTCTTTTCCTATCCACTATCCCTTGACCTCTGAGTGAAATGTCACGGGGTTAAGGGATAGTGGATAGGAGAATTCAAAAGGACTTAGGAGAAGAGACTGCGGTACTTTAGAGAATCGACTGCACTTTCACTATCCGACGTGTTTATGATGCTCCAGCGGACGTCATGAATGTGCGTCTGCTGCTGTGGGGAAACTATGGAAACTACAGTTTTCTATACAGCGGACTACAACATGGATGTTCAATAAGAACGAGGGACTACTGTAAACTCATCTAGAGACTCTGCACCGTGCTCTGATGCTGTTGCTTTATGCTTTATGAATGTGGACAACAGAGAAACATATTCTTCATGACCAAAGTTGGAATTGAAATAAAAAAGGAAAGTGAAACTTTTTGTTATCACCCCCCCCCCCCCCCCCCCCCTCCGGTCCTCACGTATTAATCCACATGAAGCCCAATACGAATGACTGTATGAAAATATTCCAAGATAAATACAAATGTATTTATTATGAACTTGTTAGGCCTTAACCCATCACTGTGTATATCACCATTCAAACATGTTTAAGAAACCCCCAACATGTCAGTAAACACTGAAATGTTGACTTTATTTGATCAGTTCATATTTGTCCTTTGATCATTATAGTGTTGAACATTAAAAACCAAGCACCTAAGCAAGTTGCTGCATACGTTCTAAAATGCTGAATAAGTACCTTAATTTCCATGATATCATTTTTTCGCCCACGATCGGTTGTTTCCGTGAACGGCCGAATGTTGTGTAACCGTAAATGTTGCGACCACAAGGTATTGTGGGACAGCATGATCTCCTTCCCTTTTCGTAAAGGATGCTCCAGTGTGTCCTAAAGGAGATAACAAAGGACTTTGTATTAACCCTTTCATGCATAGAGGTCACTACAGTGGACAGCTATTCAAAAGGCGTTTTCTTGTATATGCATTGGTTTTTTTTTGCATAGTTGCACCATCAGCCACTACATAGGACCCTATTGCATCATCCCATACCCTGCCCCTCAGAGCCAAGTCAGTGTAAGTGCATCATACATGTCTCTAAACCAAGATGGATGACAGAAAGCCACATGGACCAAGTCACCCATCTATATCCTGCCAATCCTTTTATGGAAAGCGTCCCCTGCAGGTATAAAACATGTGGTGACATCAAGTAACAACTAAGGAATCATATAATTCATAAATGATCAAAGTATTGATGTTATGTTTGCAGGAAATCATGATTAACCACCTCTCCACTACAGTGGACGTCATGCATCACTGGCTATATTTCAACTACAATTCATACTGCTACTGCTGCTGTTGTTCCCAGGGCCGTCCCTCCCTACAGGCAGGTCATGCAGACTGTGTGGGGCCTCACCTTGTGGAGGGGGCCACACCTTGTGGAGCGGGGCCTCACCTGAGGCGCACCTATGCGCTTATGTGGCGCAATTAGGGTGGCACGGCACGGTTTCGCCGCTGCGAGGCTCCACTAGCACTCATCAAATAACTGTGCGTGGGGCCTCAAATTGGCCCCTGGCCCTGGTTATTCTTGAAAATACTTCATCTGCAATATCTTTTTGGGCCGTAAATCAACATACTTATGTTATTATAATGTAATTTTAAGTTTGCACATCTTTATTTATCATTTTTTCAAAATGTACATCTCTTCAGTTCAAACCCTTAACGCATACTGTCCACCTGAGTGGACATATACAAATCTCTTTGAAAAAACTAGATTAAAAAAAAAAAGTTCAAATCTTGTTTTTCATGCCCCAAGAGCAATAATAACACTTGGTAAAAAAATCCTGACTGAGGCTTTCATAATTCATGCATGAAAGGGTTAATGTCTTAATTTTTCTCTCTCTCTCTCTCTCAGTCCTGGATACAGCCGGTCAGGAGGAGTTTGGAGCGATGAGGGAGCAGTACATGCGCTCAGGAGAAGGCTTTCTATTGGTGTTTGCACTCAACGACCGGGGCAGGTAATGGGAGTTAAGCGGAGCTGATTGGATTGGTTCATATTGTGTCAATCTGTATATTACACATTCCTTCCTGTGATCAGAATGCATATGATTGTGTGGTTCTTGACACCGTGCTGATTACTCCCTGTGTCCCCTGGCAGCTACCACGAGGTTCAGAAGTTCCACACGCAGATCCTGAGAGTGAAGGACCGGGATGACTTCCCCATGGTGCTGGTTGGAAACAAGGCGGACCTGGAGCATCAGAGAGTGGTCAGTACCCTCATGCAGCTTAATGGAGTCGCTAGCTTTCCATTATCCCTGCTTCCTGGAAAATACTGTAGTGCAAGTCAGGGAAACGGATCAGTTATTTCACAGGATTTGGAAGTTTCAGGGAGTTTAAGAACATACAAATGTAAATAGAACCCCCCCTAGTGTCTTCAGATGGTATTCATTGTTCTATAGGAGGAGCCTGGGACTTCAGATGTAGCTGTTGTGCAATCAGGTTCAGGTTCTTTATTTCTGTGACAATATAATCTTTGTTGAAGCCACTTTTGTATTCTCTAGGACAGGCTGTTTTATAAGTCAAAAAGTCAAAGTCAACTTTATTGTCAATCTTTCAATTTGTGTGTACAGACAGAGAGATCGAAATACCGTTTCCCACAATGCCGAATATAAAAGTACAAATATGTATAAAATATGTATATCCTATAAAGTAATTTGCTCACATTGTGTTCAACGCGTCATAGAGCGAGCAAGTCATTTCATTGGACGAGAGGCATACTATGAGAGCTGGTCAGAGGGATGCGTTCAAATTTAGTCAGTCATTTGAGGAAATGGCGAACGCAGATAAAGTTGAGCTCGAAAATCCTCCAGCATCATTGAAGTCTCCGGTTTTGGAACATTTTGGTTTCGCAGTTACGTACAAGGATGACGGACAAAGACAGGTCGGCATTGTTCAACTAAAATCGGTTACGCGGCTGGCAATACATCAAACTTGCACACTCTTGAAAAGGCATCACCCGAACGTGAATATCACCAGTACCAAAAGAAAAAAGACTGAAGTGAAAACCCAACTCCCACTAGCATTTAAGCCTCCACCACTCGAACAAGTTCAGACCGAGCCAAAGCTATTACAAACACCAAGTATCCTTATGTTGCCATGTTAGCATAGCGCTACCTGGCTGTATCTGCTGCCACTGTCCCTAGAGAGGGTGTTCTCCACATCAGGAGACATTGTTAGTGCCAGCAGATCTGCCCTTTCGGCAAGCAATGTGGACAAGTTCATTTTTCTTTAAAAAAACATGAAAACAGTACAGTTCAAATACAGATTATTTCAGTTCATCGAAATGCTGCACCTTAATGTTTATTTTATTATATTTTGTATTTATTTTAGTGAATATTCAGTTTAATAAATGAACAACCCAAAACTAATATTTTATGTATTGTGAGTACTAGTAGGCTACAGTAAAGTTCAAATACAGATTATTTCAGTTCATCGAAATGTATTTGAGTGAATACATTATTCACAGTTTAATAATAATTAAAAACCCCCAAAAAATATTTTATGTTTTGTGATAATCTTTTCTGCTGTACCGAAAACGTACCGAACCGTGACCTAAAAACCGAGGTACGTACCGAACCGAAATGTTTGTGAACCGTTACACCCCTACTAAATGCACATCAAGCATCAAGGATCGAGCATCGAGGAGGCTCTCTGGAGGAGCTATAACCGAGGAAACACTGATGTATCCTCCGCGGATGTATTTCTGGCAACAGTGATGTTTAAAAGAGGCGTGACGCACGGCCGGACTGATCTCAACCAATGACAGCTCTGCATGCTGCATCCCCTGGATATTAGGCTGTTTTTTATATTTTATTAACTGCTTTAATCGCAACGCAATGTTTACAGTGAGAACAGCTGCTGAGGTCCGTGCAAAAAGCAGAGCAGTGTGTATAATATATATCACTCAGTAATATACAGGTGCATAAAACTTTTGGCTCGTAATTTCATTTCCCCATTGTAGTGACCAGAGAGGGGGGGGGATATATCCAGTCTCTGATAGTGTTACGTTATTATGAGAGTGCTCTCATACTTGTTTGATTCTGAAATTGTAATATATATAAATATATGTGTGTGTGTGTCCGCATCTGTAGCCTGTTATTGTCTCATTATACCGCACTGTGAATGAATCAAAGTAAATATATAAGTGGTCATGAACACATCTGTCCATCAGACAGAGGGCTGCTGTGCCTCCTGTCATCATTAATGGACGTCTCTTTAAAATGACCGCTCAGAGAGGAGTTCTCATTTCTCTAACCGCCTGCTGCTTCCCCTCCTCTCTCCTCGGTTCCCCTCCTCGACTCCTCCGCTCTCATCTCCTGTGGGCGGGACTAAGACACGAGGATAGGAGTCGAGGAGGGGAATTAGATAAATGGGAAAGGTCCACTAAAAACCCATGTCCTGTCCGTTGTTTTCCTATTGACAAGATCAATCTACAACATCGTTAGCAACATGGCTACTGTAGCAGCATGGCTAGTGACCAAAGAATCTCAAAGATCAGTAACCCAAACTCAGTGCTCTGATGAAGGCAGAGCAAACATCCACTGGTTTTGATAAATAGAAGGTTTGTTGTTTATTGATGTAGTTTAGTAGAGAGAACATTTTTATAATGCTTTCTCTGCGCCTTTTTTCCCTCCATCAACAGGGCTCTTTTGTTGGATAACATTCCTCTGGTTGTTCTGCTACCTGGGGAACAGTGTTCATTTTGGCAGCTGTTTTTGATTTAGTCTTAGTCTTTAGACGAAAATGATCATTAGTTTTAGTCACATTTTAGTCATTCCTATCCTTCGTAGTTTTAGTCTTGTTTTAGTCGACGAAAACTCAAAACGTTTTAGTCAACTTTTAGTCAAAATGTTTTCTCTCTTTAAACTAATTCAGTTAGGCAAATACAGGTTTCTGACATTGAATCAATTGTGACAGCAATCAAGTGTTGAAAATTCGTAAAGCAACATTTCACTCTCTTAACACTTTACTTGTGTAATATATAGGGATGGGTATCGCTAAGGGTTTTTAATGGTACTACTAGTCTTAATCGAAACTGCTTATCGATCCGGTACCTTAACGGTATTCTTGTAGGTACTTTTTGTTATTTTTAAAGGGAACAAACCTAAACAAATTGTTAACCGAATTAACATTGCTTTATTTACATGTGAAATAAATAAATAAAATATGTATAATTATGTTATTATATTGTACTGTACTTGAGTAAAATGTTGAGGTACTTGTACTTTACATTTAAATGTTTTGCTACTTAGTACTTCTACTCCACTACAGTTCAGAGTTAAAATGGTGTACTTTTCCTCCACTATGTATTTAATCCCTTTAGTTACTTCACAGATGTGGATGAATGATGTGAAATCTAACCAAGTGTTGAATCAGACTTTAGTTCCACCTGGAGTAAATCCACCAGCTACCCTGCAGTATACAAAGTCATTCAAACTAGCTGCACCTTCACCAGCTTTGAGAACACTTTCATGATCAATCATTATAAACATATCATATATATTATTCTGAAATGGACCAATCTGCACAATGACAATTCTGCATTTCTCCGATTGAATATGACGCATTTTGGCCAGCTGTTTGGACAGACTACTCTACTCGTGTCAACGCGCTAACGCGAAAACACTAATGGCAAACAAGCTTTTTCCACATCGAGCCTTGTAGAGTGTCTCTATACTCTCTGAACGCTCCGTCCCCGGCAGATCTCTGTGTCCGCTGCAGCGTGTCTGTTAGGCCCCCGCCCCGCCCCCCGCAACACAGAGCGACACAGGGAGATTGCTCTTCTGGAGTGAAGAGAGCGGAAATAATGTTATTGCAAGTTAGAAACGTAAGATGCATTTTGACAGGCAAGATGGACACTTGGGGGAAAATATGCTGCATTTTGAATGTCCGATAGTCCACCATTAACACCTTAGTCCCGTCTCGTCAACGAAAACTAAATATACATTTCGTCATAGTTCTCGTTATCAATAATCTATTTTTAGCTCGTCATCGTCTCGTCTTAGTCATGTAAAAAAGGTCGTTGACGACCATTTTTCCCCATAGTTTTCGTTGACGAAATTAACACTGCTGGGGAAACTTTCTTTACCTATTTTGTTGAGTTGCCTCGGTGAAAGGCTCTCTGGTGAGCAGGGATGCAGTGTATGTGGAGGGCTTTCATAATGTGAAAACAAAACACAACCTGCAGCATGCTTAATTGTATTATTAAATGAGCTTATATGGAACCAATCTAATAACTGTCGGTGTCATTATTTACAGCCATCAACATAATACTCCATAATAATCAGTTAATGCAAAATGGTTTTTACGGCCTGGCAGGTCTACTTCCAACAGCACATTAACCTGGTAGAATTGTTTATATTTAGTTATGTTGTGTTTGAGGGAAAGCTAACTTATGGCGCTTTTCCACTGCAAGCAAGTAGGACGGGGTTCCGGCTCAGGGCTACTTTTTCACCTTTTTTCTGGCCCTCCAAAATCGAGGTTTCTTACCTGGGCACAACCACCTGGCTGAATATGCTAAGCTAGAGACCGTAAACAACTCTCGACTGCTGAATGGTCAGAGAGAATCGCTGGCAAGGGGGCTACAACTACAGACACATGAACATATTTTTACGGTGATTTCATTGTAATACAACGTTCAAAAATGATGCCGAAGTACAACCATACTGATACCGGTTAGTAAAAACCATGAATTAATGCTTTGACAAGACAGACAGACGGCAGGCGAAAAAACCTTTTTAAGAATGCGTGTTTTCTGAATGGAGCTTGGCTAAGCTAACGCAGTATATGCCTCCGACCGTCCACACTCACAACAACGGCCTACAGACATAAATAAAGCAGCGACTGTATTCTCCATGACACAGACAGTCTGTGGTTTGTACTTGTTTAACTTTTGTCTAGTTTTCTGAACAGATATGAGGAGCTGTGAGCTTGAGGGCTAACAGCTAACGGCTGATGTTTTGTGGTTCGCATTGAAGATGACGTCACAGCAGTTTTAAACGCAGCGTCGCTCCGCCCGCCGAACAGCCGATCGCCCGCCTACACTGCGTTATTATAGTTATTACCCCCAGTTGGTAAACTGGAATGGAAACACAGCATAAAGTGAGCCTGACCTACCAAGGCCTAACCATACCGTACTAAGCCGTGCTTGGTCCTGCAGTGGAAAAGCGCCATTAGTCCCAGACATATATCCTCCTATATTTGTATAAAAAAAAAGCCTTATCTCTCATGGGGACCGAGAGTGACAGGAGGCGGGCCAGTGGATCAGATTGAGTTTGCTCTGTGTGCAGATCTCCAGGGGAGGATGCCCAGGCGTTCACCAGAGAGAACAGGATCCACTACATGGAGGCTTCTGCCAAGAAATCGCCACAACGTGGATGAATGCTTCTTGGAGCTGGTACAAATTATCAGGTGCAGTTGGTCAATATATGTTTAAAGGCTTGTTAGATGCCAAAACACTGCACACGGGTTTGTACAGGGATCCTGCGGGTCCTTAAAAAGTCTTGAAAGCATGAAAATCATTACTCTGAAATGAAGGCCTTGACTGGTATTGATGACTTGATGTAATTAATACATACATTTCTAATACATGGGAAGTAAGAATGTATTAACCTTTTATTTATATTTGATAGAAATATCAAAATATGTAGTTGGTTACATTTTAAGGTCCTGGAGATCAGGATAGCATCCAAAATGGTCTTACCTTACAATCTGATTAATAATAAAAAATAGATGAATATACATGAAACCCTCTTTACTGGTTACACACATGTTCATGGACACACACATAGTAACATTTGCCCTCTGCATTGGGGAGCACCTTGCTCACGGACTTGAACCAGCGATCATCTGGTTCCAAAGCCAAGTCTACAGACTCAGCTACCAGCAGAAAACAGTGGCTACAGTACGGGACTATACAGTTTAACGCTAAGATTCTTCTTACTTAGACCTTATTAAGTTTGAACCTGCATTTATTAATATTCAGTATATCAAAATTCAATCAAATTACACTGTGTAATATCAAGGGGACAACCCCACACACATGACCAGGGAGTCAACTTTAGAAAGACTCATTCCTATCTTTCTTTATGTTCTTCATCCACAGAAAGTTTCAGGAGATGGAGAGTCCTCCCCCCCAAGCTCATCACACAGGGAAAAAGAAGAGCGGGGACTGTCCCTGTGTCCTGCTCTGAGCACTGTTACTATGGACATCAGAGCCCCGCCCCTCTACAACTTGTCCAAAGAAAGAGAGAGAGAGAGAGAGTGTGGTGTGTGTGTGCGTTTGTGCGTGCGTGCGTGCATGTTGGGAGAGAAGGGGGGGAGAAAGAGTTAAGGTGCGTCCTATTCTTACCAAATGGTTTCATTTGCACTTTTGTCAAAAGCAAGTTCTATATCAGCGTATCTTTTTGTAATGAGTGGATGTAAAGGGATCAGTAGCAGGTTAGTAGTCAGTAGTATAGTTAGTTTGGTGGAGAAAACAGGAAGTCAGTACTGTGTTTTAATTGTCACACATGCAGACCGCACACTGTAAGATTTAGACTGTACATTTAACTTCTCCTGTGTGAGTAGCAGTGGGCTGCAGAGGCCCGGGGTTGGGGGGCAGTGTGGTGGTTTGCTGCCCAGCTCCCAAGCCAAGTCCCTACATACTGAGCAACTGCTGCTCCCCCAATGCTTGCAAAAATAAAAAATCACATTCACATATGTTGTAGAAATGACTGCTGTTAAGCAGTAGGAGAGTACAGCAGGGACATCATCATCACAGCTACACAAACAACTATTCCAAAACGGTGTCTTCAGTGTTAAATAATTGACATGCCAATGTAATATTTCAACTTGCTCATGAAATGAAATCAAGGCCTGGCCAAGGCCAAGCCACAACACCCTTGAGCTGTCCGACCCAAAAGCCTTCCTACAGGGAGCGCCAGAGCCTCTCCAGAGAATAGAAAGAGAGAGGAAGTGTAGCAGCAGCTCCAGCTTGTAGCTCTGTTTCCAGCTGCTGGGTTTGCACTATTGCCTTTATGCCTTAATTGTGCCAATTGTGTTGCTATAACAATTCAGAATAGTGAAAAACATCCTGAATGACAGATCCTGATCACTCAGGGTTCCTTTCGCCATATTGACCGGATTACTGCACATTATCCCGCTTATTACTAAGTTAATCAATGATTTGACCCAATATATTGAATTAAACCAGTTTTTATTGATATGAACAAATAAAATGTTGTTTCCCACTTCTAGTCCATCTACTGCATAGCAACAGCTGGGAGTGCTGTGACAGCCACACTGATGGAGATTTCTGTGACTGTCAGAGTCTGTTCACAGTTTCTGTTCCACTAACAAGTCCTTCAGCTCTGCAGAGTCCATGCTGTGTTCCTGTTCGTGTGCACTTCCTGTCTGTCTTCCTCTGCTGTTCCCTTTAGTGTTTACTTCCTGTCTGTCTTCTTCTGCTGTTCCCTTTAGTGTTTACTTCCTGTCTGTCTTCTGCTGTTCCCCTTTAGTGTTTACTTCTTAGGTTCATCTCAATACCCCTGCTCGACTTCTCTCTCCCCCTCCTCCGGACTTGACCCGGAAATCGATCAAGACACGCCATGTTGAAGGACGTCCCAATTGCTGAAATGCACACGGAGGAGGAGGGGGTGATGGAGGAAGCTTCCAGAGGAGACGAAAGGGAGGATACACGAGAGCAGACTATGCGGAAGTGTTTTCACTACTCGCGTATAAAAGCCCCGCCCCCGCCCCCACCTTCACAGCCTCTGCTCACTGCAGCTGATCTGACTCAGAGCTCCGCCCCCATCTGCCACAGCCTCTGCTCACTGCAGCTGATCTGACTCAGAGCTCCGCCCCCAGCTGCACAGCCTCTGCTCACTGCAGCTGATCTGACTCAGAGCTCCGCCCCCAGCTGCACAGCCTCTGCTCACTGCAGCTGATCTGACTCAGAGCTCCGCCCCCAGCTGCACAGCCTCTGCTGACTGCAGCTGATCTGACTCAGAGCTCCGCCCCCCACCTTCACAGCCTCTGCTCACTGCAGCTGATCTGACTCAGAGCTCCGCCCCACCTTCACAGCCTCTGCTCACTGGCAGCTGATCTGACTCAGACCTCCGCCCCCACCCAGAGTCCTGCATCGGGTCGGGTACCCCGCGGGTACCCGACGGGTGACCCGCAAAAAAGGTGATTCGCGGTGGTATTTTTTCAAACGCTTTTTTCCGGGTTCGGTTCTGGGTAAAAACAAAGATGATGCGGGTCGGGTCGCGGGTATTGCATAATAAATATATTAAAATAATATAATTTGAGTTTAATGTTTAAATCCTCAGACCTCTCCCCGCGGGGACTGCGCATAATCAGTAACCTCTGCAGCTGCATCAATCTGCTGCTGTGTAAATTCTCCACATTCGAAATGGCTGAGGTGAAGCTCTCTAGCAGGAGAATACAGCAATTTCAATAACACTTCCTCAAGAGCGAAATCCAACGTCTGGGAGGCTGTTTGGGTGTCATCCTGGAGAAAATAACCAACATCCCACGCTTTATTGAGACAAATATATGCAACTGCGTGTGTTAATAATTGCCAGGTTTTCACTGCTCATAGGCTATGCGGGTTTCGTGTCGGGTTTGCGGATCTTGTGCCGACGGGTCGGGGCGGGTTGCGGAACTAATTAGCAATATGTGCGGGTAACGGGGCGGGTTCGGTAATTGTACGTCGCGGGTGCGAGGCAGGAGGCGGGTCTTGAAAATCAGAACCCGTGCAGGACTCTGCCCCCACCTTCACAGCCTCTGCTCACGTGCAGCTGATCTTAACCGTTAAAGGAGGATCAGTCATTAAATGTTTAAAAGTGCTTAATTAAGAGTAAAATGTATTACATCTCAAACAATGAGGAGATCATACTCTATAAAAACATTAAGTATGTGAAATATACTTACAAATTCAATAATAATGTTTTGATTATAAAATAATAACTTTGATGCATGACCCACAGAACGTCAAACATTTAGGATATAAATACGGGTAGCATATCTAATACATCTTTTAGTGATTTGTGTCTCTCTTCTGTAGGACAAATGAAATAATAACATCCAATACAAAAGTTGATCTGAAACAAGCTCAAATACCATAATGAAATTAATCCATCAATTATTATTATTGTTATGATTATAATTATAACTTAAATGAAATGTTATACCTGGAAAAACAAATACAGGACCGAAAATAATACATTGAAAACTATAATAAAAGAGATGGATGGAAGAGATGAAATCATTTCAATGTGAAACTAAATCCCAGGTTTGTAGGGATTGATGTGGAGGGAAGTCCAGTGACGGGTGATACACTGCGCCACCAGAAGTAAAGGGTGTTTAGGGTGTTTGTTCCTCGTGTCTCTCGCTCGCGTCTTACGGGGGCGGAGCTAAGAAGCAAGGAAGGGACGCGAGTGAGGGAAAGGAGGAGGTGAAATATTCAATTGAGATGAGCCTCTTGTCTGTCTTCTTCTGCTGCTGTTCCCTTTAGTGTTTACTTCCTGTCTGTCTTCTTCTGCTGTTCCCTTTAGTGTTTACTTCTGTCTTCTGCTGATTTATCTGTCTTTCAACTTCTTCCTTCTCTTCTTAAGTTTCCTTTTTTCACTGGGTACAGTTAGCCATCAAGGATCCAAAGTTGTGTGCTATCTGCAAATATAACACTGAATTTTCTAAAAGTATTCCACAGTGTCTCTGATGAAGTATCGTAAATGAATGTTTTTTTTCGCTCCTGCTGATGTTAAATTGATCTAAATTCTTTCTGCTGTTGATATGACTGCACATAGTCCCTTGATAAGAGCGTCCATAGCAACACTCTACTATCATCAAACAGCAGGCTGCTGAATGTCCAAATTGAACAACCAGATTTGAGTATTCAACGAAGCTGTGAAAAAACCCAAAGATAATCCTTTCAACTGCATCTCATGGTCTTCACGTGATCTCAGTGTTATTTGTTGGCAGGTGTTATCATGTCACTGAAGTTTCTTACCTAGCTTACATGATACATGACAACTAAGCCATCTCCATGACAACTGAGCAAGCATTATTCACCAATGATAACTCTGTTTTTAATCTCACAGAATTTGGCAGTCTTGCTCTACAGACGTGAGAAATCCTTCTTCCGACCCCGAACTGTGCAGTAGCCCCATCCCACCACTGGAGGTCACTATTTCAGCCAAGGGAAGAGCAGCCACCCCCCACCCCCCACCCCCTTCATAAACACACTAAGACTAGGGCTGTTAGTCTTTGTACAGTATATTATTATTATTGGAGCTTCAGGCCAGAGGTGTGTGGTGGTCCAGAGTTAAGCCCCCCGTGCTCAGATATGTATTCATTTTATTAGTAGTGGGTCCAATTCTTGCTTAATTCTACTTTAAGGACCTTACGGCTCTTTATTTGAAAGAAAATATAAACAATGAGGCACACCAAGAAAAATACTTTGTCAAGTTTACTTGAAAAGAGAAAAAAATCCCTCACAGTGTAGCCAAATATCTGCGTTCTTATTTGTCATGTGTAGTGCTTTGGGCAGTTTTGTTTTTACTTATTTTCATATTAATATCTATCGTACACCCTGAAATTCAAACCACTTTGTTTTTATTATTGAAAAAAAAGTTAAATGTATTTTATACATCATTAAAACATTTATCCTAAGATTTATTTCTGTCGTTCTTGTATGACTTACAGGTTTTGGTTTATGAATAGAATTTCAGATGTTGTATTGGAAATGAGATGTACGTTTAGTGATCTGAGTAAAGTTCGGACACTACAGTCCGTTTACCTTTGTTTCAATTATTTTTCTTTCTTAAAACAGCTAACAGGCAAGTGACTGCCATGCTTTTTGATTTGCCTTTTGTCTCTGATTGGAGGGGCGAGATTTTTGGAAGTTAAAGGTCTCCTATTATACTGTTTTTAGGCATATATTATAGGTCTCAGATATATAAAAACCATGTCTCTGATGCTAAAAAATGTTAGGGGGGGCACAAAAAAAACAGCCTACAACACCACTGTAATGTTGAAGGACATTTATTGTGATTCATGGACACTAGCAACTACTTGAATATAAATGTTGCCCTCCTTTCCTTCTGGCCTGCACATTGTCTCAATGACTTTCTGATTAACCCTCTATGGCATGACTTTTTATTTTGGGAGGAAAACATTTTTGTACATGTTTGTATGTCATTTTTGTACATGTTTGTATGTCTCTGTGTGTGTATGTGTTTGTCTGTGTGTGTGTGTGTCTGTGTCTATGTGTGTGTGTGTGTATGTGTTTGTATGTCTCTGTGTGTGTGTGTATGTGTTTGTCTATGTGTGTGTGTATGTGTTTGTATGTCTCTCTGTGTGTGTGTGTGTGTGTGTGTATGTGTCTGTGTGTGTGTCTGTGTCTGTGTGCCTAACCCTATCTTGACCTTCACTGTCCTCACTGTCAGACGGAATAGCCCTAACAGCCTGACCGTGTCCCTTCTGCCCATAACATGTTTTGTGTCCATTCCCTGTAAATATCAGTAGATGTAAAAACATTGATTAGGTTTATCATTTTACAGCTGAGCACACTGGATGATATTGCCTGGAAAAAAGTGGTCCAAGTGGCACAGTGTTGCCCTGAGGCAACGAACAAAAAAACATAGTTTTAGCTAATTAATAAATACATAATAAGTCTTTAAACAATCAAATATACTTCTTTACGTATTCATGCACATGCATGTATTTTTTATTTTAAGTTGTGTACATTTCTAATATGTTAAAAAGTGAAATGTATCTTACCAAGTGGTGGCCCTGAGTCCCCTGCAGTTTTGCTTGCAGAAAGGACTGCTCCGTCCCCAGACAAAATGCCACACCCATATCATTCCCTCATTTTATTGGACACCAGCATGTCAGGTGACATTGTGTATATT